TTTATTTATGGCAACCTGGATGAATATATGCTCGGACATGCGCAGAGGAGCGGATGGCACGGATCGTGCTTCCTGTATGGACCAAACAGCTCAGCAAAAGGCAATACTTTGATTTTATTGGTCATTGTGATTAGAGTACTTCCATTCCTGCAAAGCAGATGCACTCCACTTTTTGTGCAGCGTCCAACCACAGATAAAATCTGCCTCCTTATTTGAATTTCAGAACATGAAATAAAAGGAGCTTAACACGAAAAACGGAGTAAAACAACAAAAAGGAAGTCTCTGAATGAGTAAAGTAGCTTTACAAAGTGATACTCCATTTTGATATAGATAAACAAATAAATTGTGTAATAAATAAATCTTTGAATATATTAAAAAAAGCTTAAAATATATAATAAAGTAAGATTAAAATAATTTTAACATTTATTTTGTGTCATTTCATGGGCATAATTATTTATTTAACGGAATATTTATTGACTATCGGTAACAATATTTATTTATTTATGTTTAAATGAAACAGTTCTCATTGGTACTGATCCCTGTGGTGACTTTAATTTGAAGGTTTGACTAATTCATTTAACTGGATGTATCTTACTAAATATGCTATTCGATCAAGGTATTTATTCTAAAAAAGAGAAGTAAATTGAGGAACGCCAAAGCAGTCATACAGGAAATCACAGAACTATGATGATGGTTTTGTCGGTTAAAAGTACACCGCTATTGTGACGTGATTTTTAAAGGGGAAAAACTTGTAGCAAATGTCTTTCCCACAAACTGTATTAGGCTAGAGTTAAAGTTATCCGTTTTCACGTTTCCAACCTCATGTGGTGTAGCCACAAATTTTGATGAAAGTATCAGATGTCCAGATGCCTCTTTATAACAGTGGCTTTTGGAGATGCACCCAGAGCTCTTAAAATATGAGGGTGCCGTCTCATCAGCATGCAGATACATCAGCACGGCAGAAATAAATTGATCTGAACACACAGCCTTATGAAAGACCAGACCCTGTAAGATAGAGGTTTAATGATACTGTACAGTTAAAATGATTTAAAAGTTGAGTACGGTAGTTTAGTTTGGCTTATTTTTACAATGGAGGTCACTGTAGGTCTTCCCTTTCACTTGTAGATTTTGACCTTTACTCGCCAACATTTCCAAATTGAGGATGGTCCTCGACAGAAAGAGGTTGAAAACTCTTCATCCATTCTTATCTTTCTCTTTTCATGCGTGAATGAACTTCAGATTAGGGTCTGACCGCATTGCTGGGCCGATTTTAGCATCTGGCTCATTAGTCAACATCTGCCAAAATGTAGCAGATTTTAAAGAAATTCTATTTTTGCTGCCAACACCAAAAAGAAACTTTGGCCGGGTGCTTATTGTGCTTCTCTGCCCCTCTCTTCTTGAGAGCTGATCTGCTCCTTGCCATCCCTCCCCTCAGTGAGCTCTCTCTGCACCACCCCTCCTGACAAACACACTTTTACACAGCTGCTGCTAGTGTGAGCAAGGAATTAGACAGAGAGGTAGAAAGTGAGCAGTTTACTCCCTAGTAGCTGTGATTTTGTAAAAGTTAATTTTAGTGCCCTGTGGCAACAACCCTTCTCACGCTGTTATGGCACATTAAGGAGAGCTGACGCGTTTTATATGCGCTAGTTTTGCGAACACATTAGTATTTTAGACCTGTGTAATTTTTAGCTCTATGCGAAATAAACTTTCAAAGGAAAATAAGATGATTATATTGTGTCCAACTATACTTCATACTGACATGCAGGGGCTCAAATTCAGAAGTTAATGTTAATATTTTAAAAGTCTCAATCTTATGTATTTAGTTGTATTCCTGGTTGGATGCTTTAAAAGCAGCAGCACCGCTACTCAAATCTAGTTTTAACCTTTCTGTTCAGAACTATTCAGTGTTTGTAAATATGACAAATGTATATTTCTTAGGTGTTTTTGTGAATTAACCTTTTAAAAATAAATCAGATACAAAACGCCTCCCATTAGACAGTGTTTTATCACTTTAAGCTGTATGCGGCCACTTGTTTTTATTTTTAAATGCTTTTCTGTAGAATTGAAATCTAATTAGCAATGTTCACTAAATATATTAATTTCATAGACAGAGGGTAACAGTCAGGTGTGGAGCCACTTAATGAAGGCTGTTACAGCTGTTGGATGCAGAATCTGCAGTGTTAAATTTTGTCAGGGCTCTCAAATTTGAGGCAATATCTAAATCAAAACCACAAAAAATTTATTTATAGTGTTATGGTGACACTGCTTATTTTAATTATATAGTTTTGTTCTATTTCTTTGTCTTGAATCATATTTTTGGTTATGGTAATTTAAATTGGACTATAGTTAGACAGTGTATATCCCATGTATGTCCATATTTATTTTTTTTTAATATTCTGGTCCATATATGTCAATATCAATATGTCTGGTATAGTTTTTTTTTTTAAAGCCCCTAAAATCGACTTCGGCCTTAAAAATCCCATGTCGGTCTGGCTCTACTTCAGATGTCCTCTCTTTTTATAAAGAAATACACTTTCTATTTTAGTACCTCTTTATACCTCTGTGCTTTCTGTCATTTTAAATCTCCCACTGGTAGTGATAGAAGCCAACAATAAGTCCTCTTCCCTTAGTAACAGCATCCAAACCGAAGAGTGTTTTTGTCTGTGGGACCTGGCAGTGCTTAGCAGTGTTCTTACTGATTAGATTAAAATTTTAGGGCTGATTAAGCGGAAAAACTGAGAATTTTAATTACCATCCTGTGGACCTCGGCAGCACAGGGCGTTTTCCTGCTACTGGAGAGTTTGCAGGACACATGAGCATCCCATTAGTCTTCCTAAACTCACCAAGAGTTCATTCCACACATAGTTATAGTCCGAAACCGCAGTGAGGAGATGTTTATTGATGCCTGCTTCTACTTACTCTATTTAGTGATAACTAACAGAAACTTGGAAGAATCGTAAGGTTCACATTTAGTTAACTGGGTTTGGTCACAGTCTTTTTAGGGTTTATAGTTTCCATAAATGTTTCAATGCTGGTTAGTTGTGCATCTAATTGTCTGTTTGAAGAATTAACTTGGGAATATTTTTGTTAATTGCATTGCCAGTGCTAGTGTTTTATTGCCGTGTGGTGCTAAGTGCTATACTTGTTAAAGCAATTACCTCTGCTGTTCCACATGACTTATTTTATTACCATTTTCTCCTCTCCAGTGAGCTTACACTGACTCTTCTCTCCAACATAAATGTTATGTTTGGAAACTGTGTTAGTCATGACAATGCATAGCAAAAGCAAATGTTGGCTGTGTGATTTATTTTAAGAGCTGGCAGAAGATTGAAAGTGTTCATTTTGCTACAGCAAAACGTCTTACCCAGGGGCTGAAGATCAGTGAAGAACTGGGACAGCATCCCAATGTATATAGTGTGCTTGTGTGTGATTTTCCCCCACAGCCACAGAACTGGAAACACACAGACACACTCTGACCTCAGCCGCATGGAAAGTCCCACTCGGTCTTTCCTCATCGTACAGGCAGGATTTTCCAGTTTAATTACTCCACTGCATTGTAATTTCACATTAACTTGTAGCTTGGCTGAAAATTATTCTCTCCCTTCTTAAAACTTCCTCCCTCGCACACAGAGGTTGATCAAATTATCCCACAAATCAACACGATGGAGTGATAATATCACCAAGGTCTAAACAGACACTGTGGTGGATGCTTTCCATAGAGAAGTATTTTCAGTATCACTGCTTTTGTTTGGTCTTTTTCCTGTTTAAATACAGTAATTATCTGTATTATTTCTGGCGTGCTTATTATGTGCAATTATTAGTTATTTTACATAAGGATAACGAGTAAAGTCTCACAAGACGTGTGTGAGGAGTTTGCTGTAACTTTATTTAGTATTATTAGATTAAAATTAGTGCCGTTAGCATTTGTAATTCTAAATTCCTGCCTCAATGTTTATTTAGAGCTTTATGCCCAACAATAAATATTCCCAGAGCACTTTAGTTTACACCTAATTATGGTTCGTCCACTCATCAAATATATTGCATTTTTGAATATCGAACTGGCTTGTCACCATTATGCAGTTACCAATCCAAAACACACCCGCTGATTTCTATGTTTGCGTCTAGTGTTTTTGTTTGCACATTTTTATAAATGGACATTATATCTGTTATTTAAATGAGACTTGAATTTGAGTTCTATTTCTGTTTTTGAATTCATTTAAAAACAGTTAACAGAGAAAAGTAAACTGTAGCTCTGCTAAGATACCAAATTTGTAAAGTCATCCCCACTATAAACTATCATTATACTTGTTTCTAAGCGTTTTTGCAGTCGAGTGCATTTTGATATTTGACTTGGATGCCTCTCACAAGATGTAGAAAGATGAGTTAGCACAAATATAAAAAAAAAAAAGAAGTCATTGCGCCAAACTGAATGTGACCTGATGCTGTTTGATTAAATTTTTTTGTTTGTTTGTTTTTTACTGTTTTTGTTTTACAATTTTCTTATAGCTGTAAACCAAGAGGCAGATGGCTCATTTATTTTTCTAAAACACTGTGAGAACTGAAAAAAAAAAAAAAACAGAATTGGGTTTTTAGGTTTATAAAACTGCTGCCTCAGTTTGGATTTGCATCTGTTCATTAGCCACCTCTTAGTTCTTTGTGGAGGTTAGTCCAAAATGATCTGCCATAAAAATAAAACAGAATTTAAATGGTTGGTCTGCCTCCATAATACCTCTTACTCTCTGTCCTGTTGGGCATGAGGAATATGAATATTCCTTTGATGCAACAAAAAAAATGGACTGAAGCCTTTAGCTGATTAGACTGATGAACACAACTGGCACAACATTTCAAAGACTATGCATTTTCTTTCTATTGGCAAACTTTTATTTAAAATGATATAAGGAGTTCCACCTTGTGACCTTTAAAATTCCAGAAATGTCAATAAACTATTATGATTTTATCTTTTTTTTTTTTGTCTAAATAATTTTTCTTCTTTCCTCCAGGCCTGAGTGCACATCAACACCTCAGAAATCTGAAGATGCTAGGATCTAAGAGACCAGAGCTCCTCGCTGATCTGCTAGGTTCTTCCATTATGTCGTAACTAAAGGTTGTCCGGCCTCCTATCTTGGGAATCCTCCCTCTTAAATCTCATTTCCTCTTTTGGATTTGGGCTTGTATTCAACATCAGCAATCCCCTCACCTGATGTGGTGATTTCTAACTGAATTATTGGTAGCGCCTCATCTGGCGCAATGAGTAGCCTGCAGCATGGCAGTACAGGCTCAGAGCGAGACCTTCAGTCCGCTGTATCCTCTGTTAGCCTCCCCTCAGTTAAAAAGAACTCTAAAAGACGCCGTCTGTCCCTTCACTCATTCTTCGGACGGAGACTCAGACCTGAACGGGAGTCCAAACGGAAGTCTAGGACTCTGTCATCTGGGGTGGATGCGGTTGTCAGCCTTGAAAGCGTGCAGACTGAGACCGGGCTTGACAAAACTTCCACCCAGCCTCCGTTGGACGTAGCGTCAACATCAACCGGGTCGGGGAGTTTGTCAGAGCTACTGGAATGCCCCCTGTGCCTGCTTCGCCATACACGGGACCGCTTCCCGGACATCATGACCTGCCACCATCGTTCCTGCGCAGACTGTCTGCGCCAGTATCTACGCATTGAGATTTCAGAGTCCCGCGTCAACATCACCTGCCCCGAGTGCTCGGAGCGCTTCAACCCACACGACATCCAGATGATCTTGGGAGACCGAGCCGTCATGGAGAAATATGAGGAGTTCATGCTGAGGAGGTGGCTGGTGGCCGAACCAGACTGTCGCTGGTGTCCTGCCCCCGACTGCGGGTAAGATTGTGTGGTGCTTACAAAAATATAAATCAAAAGCTTTCAAAAAATGTCCTTTCTGTCTCTCACATGAGATTTCTTTTTTATTTAATATAAACAAGTGAAAGAATAATTGGAAATAAAGTGCCATATAAAGATATTCAGAAGCCTTGAACTTTTTCACAAGGTATTTTCTAAACACGTTCTTGTTTTAAGTGATAGATGAGCATCTAATACGTAATTGTGAAAGAAAGGGAGAAGGGTTTTTTAAAGACTTAAACATGCCTCTGAGCAAAGTTGTGTGGTGGAAAAATCTGCCGCTAGACGGTGCAAAAATATGGGACAGTTCTATGACTGACGCGGCGCTATGCCTTCCTGCTGGACAGCAACAATCAACAGGCCTGGAAGACCTTCACACAACAGGTTTATTCATACAAAGATTAAATAAAACACCCATTCAGCTCCTTTTGAGCATTGTCCTTTAAAGAGTTATTTTTGTATAGAGGGGAAGTTATGAATACGGTAAGAGACAGTATAATCGTCACCTAACCTTATCATTCTTGACTCATTCCAACATCTCCACTGCACTCCTGACATGTTTAGCTCACCAACTAAAAATGTCTTAAACTGGAGCATCAAAGGTGGTGAAACTCCACCTGGCATGCCAAGCATATCACTAGATGCAAAATGTACATGCCTTTCATTTGTAATGCATATTCAGCTTTTGCATTTAAGCATTACTCTTAAAATGTGATTATTGCATCAATGATAGTGATTTTATGTCATATATCTCCATTGATAACAGTGTAATGTTGACAATCACATAAATCTGAATTGGCAGCATTTCATTTCGTTTGTTGTTTCAAAGTACGAAAAAAAGTTTAAAAAAAAAAGTTCAAGGTACATGATGACTTTTAAAAGGTACAGTGTAAAGGTTTGGCACAAACAAATTAGCATTGTGTTTGTTTAAATATTTAAAAGTGAAAATTTTGTAATATATATATATATAATCATAATACAGTAAAACAAAACTTTAGTCTTTCATTTGGCTCTGTAAAAGCAGACCCAGTGTCTGAACTCATCTCCCAGTTAAAAATAACTCAGTTTCAATAGAGCCGTTTTATTTTTGTAAGTGCAATGAGTCATCCAAAAAAAGATGTGAGCAGGATATGGATACTATCATTCTGCTGATGGGTCTGTCTCATTGTTGTAAACGCTGGGAAAATATTCACTTAATATTTGCTCACCCCAAATATAATAAAATGGATATCATAAATTTAGCTTAAATCACATCAAAATGTGTGTTTTGTTTCACTTTGTTATTTATCAGTGATGTACTAAAACTAGAATATGCTGTTATGTTGGTAACTGTAATCTAAAGGTGTTTAAACTGATGGGAATTGATAGTTGAATCAAAACGTAAATATAAATTAATAATTGGTGCTAAAGGTAGAGATAAAATGCATTTAATTAACATTATGAGGCTCATGTAATCTGAAGCTTTGCTAAACATTAGGTTTGGGTTTTTTGTCCTCTGTGCTGCTGAGAGGACAGGGTTCAGGTCAGTTTAGGGTCTTATTTGTTTGGAGCCCTAAGGGATTCAGCAGTTTGCTCACAGAGAGCCAGATTGTGACTAACACTAAGCTGACCCTGCTTGGCTTCACCACAACAGACTGTACTGTTTGGCCATAACAACCACTCCATAAACAAAACACTTGTGCTGCTCCACTACACTTGGCTCCAACACACCAGCCATCCTATTTAGTCAGAAAGTTCCCACCCTTTAACCTGAATATACTTTCTAGATTTGGTTCACCAACAGCACTGAATTAATGACCTCTTGCTCAGCTTGGTGGGATTCATCTAACAACTTTGGTTTGACTCACTGCTAAACTTTTCCCCATTTTAAGTTCTCTTCCTTTTAATTGTTGCATAATTTGGTTTAAGGCTATTAGGCGTTGTTTCCTAGCTGAACAAGTTTTTCGAGTGATGCATTTTTTTTGTTGCACAAAGGGAATAGTTATTTAATGGAGTTAAACCGACTAGATTGTGAGGTTCCCCTACCTGTTCTTTTTTTTTTTTTTTTTTTGTTACAGCGTCGGCATGTCTCCCTCTTATTAGTGTAGGTTGTTTGGCATTGATTAAGTTTTATTCATTGATTGAGTTTTGTTTTATTTTCAGCATTATTTTTTTTTAATTTGTTCTTAGAGTGGGGTTATAACAGGCACATTTTAATAGATTCATTTTTTTTAATCAGATGATCCATAGATTCTTTAGCAGCAACGTGAAATTGTCCCAATATTTGAGACGTCACAAATGTGCTTTTTTTATCCTGCCAAGGACAGATTATTGTAAATTTCTGTTTCTATTCCTTCTAATCCTTGTGTTGTTAGTGGTATTTTATTCCATGACGTCAGTATTATGCAGATAAGACCAAACAATGGTAATAGCCCCAGGGAAAATAAAGGGGCTGTTTTTCTAAAAGGACTAAAACTGAAAGTTTTCTCTCTGCATCTCTATAAAAATAGATTCTAAAATGGCCTAACAGTTGATAAACAGGTTTAAATCTTCTCTCATTGTTAGTAGCACCATGATTACATGCCATCTGCAATGAATGGTTATTCATTTAAGTTATTTTGTTGATGTTTCAAAGTCTACGTAGTAGACCTTTTGGACTGTAAATTCTTAGCGGAGCAGCATCCAGATGTTGGGAGTAAATCACTTCTCACTGGAGCTAGAGCCCTCAGCTAGTTTTAGCACAATTATGGTAGGTAAATACCTAATGCTTTTCAGGCAGGTGTTAGTGGCAGGTCTTGATAACTGTGGATGGAAAATATTGGCATTCTTTGGCTTTACTTGCACTCTGTTATTCATGCCTGAATCAATTTCTCAAGCAACAACTGTCAACCTCAAATATTTGAACTTTGAAAGTCTCTTTTGCTTTACTGCACATGACTGCACCCATGTTATCTCTCTGCAGCTATTAATGTGTAGCTAGTGTGGGCCTCGGGTAAATCTGCTATACCTTATTCTAGCACAAGGGAAAACTGTTGGATGAACAGAGTAGGAAATGAAACTGAGGAGGGATTAAATTTGCATGCAGAAATGTGTGGGGAAACACAAGGAAGTGAAGACGTCAAAACATGCATTTGGAAATCTCCCTTCTGCTTGTTCATATTTTACGCAATATGTCACCAGTTTGCTCACCAAAGTGTTAGTTATTTGGAAACTGTCTGGACAGACTTTCGTTTTACCCTTATTTGCTTACATGCAACCCTCAGTTCACAGCTATTAAATATGTTCAGCATGTTTGCAAATTAAAAACAGTCAACAAGCACAACAGATATATTTTTAGTTTTACTGTCCTCTAAGCACTCTGTGTTTTGTTTTCTCTATAAGTTTCTTTTTAATTTCTTATGAAGAAAAGGGAAGCTAGAAGCTATGGCAAAATCATTGAGGTTCTGTTTCATCCTGATTATGAAAATTATGATCTTTAAGACATAGCTTAAAAAGATGAGTCAGCTTGAGAACACCTTGTTCCTAATTCTACTGAACTCTTTCAAAAAACACTTAAGAGCTTTGTTTTCCATGGCTATCGGTTAAATTTTGGGTTTTCATATTTAATGGTTACTTTCCTAATTAAATTCTTCCGATTTTAATCATTTGATCACTAACTAAATCCTATTGTCTGACTTTTTGTCTTTGAAAGTGCTGTTAGAGCTGCTTTTATGGTTTTAGTTGACATAAAATGCATATTACGGTAAATACTTTAACGGACTAATGTATCTTAGCTATGATGAATTCATATATTTTCTCGGAAAATGTGTTCCGTTTGTCCCAGACACAAACCTGAAGTAGGGTGGCTAAAAAATGTATGTACTTTTGAGTAGCTACACTGAGTTTCCTGATACACCTTTTTTTATTTCATATACTATAACAAATTTCAGCTTTAAATATTAGTCATTACAAATAATTATACAGTATGATAACAGCAGAATTAAAACACCTGCCTTTTTACTTAATTTTTAGTATGGCTTGTTAAAAAAAAGGCTTATATTTATATTATATAAACAGAAAAATTTAATAAACAATAACGGATATGAAATTAATGAACAACTCATTGTTAAGCAATGTGTTTCATACATGTAAAACATAAGCAGATAGAATTGGTGTTTCTATCAGTTTACGTATATTGGACATTTATAATACAGACCAATATTTTTGGATACTCTATTTTTTTGGCTGATATTGGACCAATTGTTAAAATCCAAGTCCAGTCAGGACATTCAAAATTTTTATAGAGTCTGTGTTGGCAGAGGTGTTTTTATCAGAACCATTTGGAGACATATCTACCATACTTTAAGCCAGCAGCAACACCCATTTGTTAACTTTTGTCTGTTTAAATATCATAAGAATGTGAAAAGGTTCTTTAGGCTTTTATGCACCTTTGGTTGACAAGTCCATACTGATGCTGTTTTGCTAAAATTCCCTTCAGTTTATTTATTTATGCTGTTTTTTCTTCAAGGAAAGCAACAAAACATAAAAAAACATGTTCAAATTAGATTTGGTCATAAATCTAAAATATTCAGTGAGACCCAATTAAGGCCCAATATTCCGATATTATGGTCCAAGTTGGATCCAGTTACATGCAGTCTATGTCCATGGTAGCTAGGGTCATAGCTCTAAACCTGCGTTCTGCTTTATGCTTCCTCCTAGGTATGCTGTCATTGCTTTTGGCTGTGCCAGCTGTCCAAAGATCACCTGCGGACGCGATGGCTGCGGTACAGAGTTCTGCTACCACTGCAAACAGCTGTGGCATCCCAATCAGACATGTGACACGGCGCGGCAGCAAAGAGCTCAGAGCCTTCGGCTGAGGAGCTTCAGGTCATCGTCACTGAGCTACAGCCAGGAGAGCGGCGCAGCCGGTAATGCTGATTGGTGGATGGATGTCTGATCATAAATTAATTTGCATTAATTTGATCTGACTTGTTCCCTCAAGAATTTATGTTTTTTTGTCTGAAGGTGAGCTTATTCTCTAGGAAGGTCTCATGTTGGAGAGCTCACCAGTCAGTAGGAAACATCAGTCAACAAACATCATGCTTAAAAAAAGAAAACTGTAAATCTAAAGGAAAAGTGAAAGATTTCTAAATGATTCACAGTAGCTGTGTTGGTCTGTGTGCCTTAACCCATTCCTTGGCCCTTGGTCTCAATCCTGTTTCCAGTTAGCCTAGCCACTGTGTTTCTGTTAGCAGGAGTTGCCATTTTGGCCCAACTGTCCCATATATTAATGAGTTGATTTTTATTTTCTTGTTTAATTCTTTCTCCAATATGACACCACCTCATACATAACCTCATTTTCAAATGAATTGTCTAGATATATATCCTGTTTTATTATTTTGTCAAATGTCCCATTATGGTTTATTTTTTTAATTATCTATGGTAGGCGATGACATCAAGCCATGCCCTCGCTGCTCCGCGTATATCATCAAAATGAACGATGGAAGCTGTAATCATATGACCTGTGCCGTATGCGGCTGTGAGTTCTGTTGGCTCTGCATGAAAGAGATTTCTGATCTGCACTACTTGAGGTGAGACAAAAGCATGATGGTTGACTCTATAGTTATGTCTTTAAATCAAGTTTATACATTATTAAGTTTTTCTCTTAAAATCACTGTTTTATTATAGTCCTATTTTTAGAATCAGCTGTATTTACACAGAAACGTACCCTCTCACCTCAGCAGTCATCTCTGTTATTTCATGTTTATGTCATGCAAAAGATATGTTATGTGTACTTTGTCTTTTACTTTTTGTTCTGTTTTAAAATGCTTTTCTATTGGTACAATTTGAAATTAAAACATCTTTTCTACAGTGTTTCTTAGTTCTGCTCCTTGGGGCGCTTCAAACCAGGTGCTCTAACGCACCTGGTTTGAAGCAGTGGATCATAAACAGGCTTCTGAAGATTTTGTTCACCTTATTTTTTCTCTGTCTTCAGGTTCTTATACATGCCAGTAAAAAATCCAGAGCCTTTGTTTGTTTCACTCCTTAAAGGAATTTTCCATTACAGCCTTTTAAGAGCACATTTGATGTAGTCCTTGGACAAAGATTTATAAGGATCTCACACATGCTTTGGTTTACTGTAATAATTTGCTCAGCTTTTCTTTGAGCCCTAACAGACCCTTTTCCATTTTCCATCTTTACAGTCCATCAGGCTGCACATTCTGGGGGAAAAAGCCTTGGAGCAGAAAGAAAAAGATCCTCTGGCAGCTTGGGACTTTGGTGGGAGCGCCTGTGGGTATCGCTCTCATTGCAGGCATCGCCATCCCAGCAATGATCATTGGGATCCCAGTCTATGTGGGCAGAAGGGTGAGAACTCCCCTCAAACAGCTGGACTCGAGAGAAAAAATGTGTTTGACAAGATAAACATGCAGGTTTGAGAAAGAAAAGAATTATATCCGGCGAGAGGAACAAATATCAGCAATTTTTACATTGCAGAGGCAGACAATTTCTGGTTATATTATATTTAATGAGAGCAAGATGCCATCTTTCTCATTCAAGTCCTTTAGATGGTGATAATATGCTTAAGGGCTTTACTGCTACACAGCAGGGAAGAGAGAGTTGCTGCATCCAATTCAAAATAAAACTGCAATCACAAATTTTGATGGGGGTGAAAAAAATCAGAGTTTGAAATTCTTGACCAAATTGCACAGTCTTAGTCAATTTGAATCATTCCAGATGGATACTGATGTTAAATATTTGTATAGAACCTGGAAGTTGACCAAACAGGGTAATGGCAGTAATGAAATGTAGGTTATAGATAGTTAAATTAAATAATCTATAATAATAGATTATTTTATTTAACTATCTATATATAGATAAAAATAATAACAAATCATTGTCCTAAAGTTAAACTTATAAATAATAAAGCGCCAGGTCCAGACGGGTTCCCTACTGAGTTCTATAAAGAGTTCTGGGACATTCTGGCCCCAACGTTCCACAGAATGCTGCAGGAAACTCTAGATAATGGCAAATTTCCAGTTAATATGAATTCTGCCACCATTAGTCTCCTGCTTAAGCCAGGCAAAGATCCTATGTTTCCGACCAGCTATCGTCCCATATCCTTAATTAATGTGGATATTAAAATAGTCTGTAAAGCTTTAGCAAAACGGTTAGATAAAGTCACTCCTCTCATAATCCACCCAGATCAAACTGGTTTCATTAAAGGGAGGCAGTCAGCTGCTAACACACGCAGACTGCTGAATTTAATAGATTATTCCTACAGCAAAAATCTTAAATCCTATATATTGTCCTTAGATGCAGAAAAAGCATTCGATAGAGTAAACTGGAAATTTTTATTTGCTACTCTACATAAATTTGGCTTTGGCAATTCCTTTATAAATTGGTTAAAAATATTATACAGCTTCCCAACAGCCTGTGTCAGGACAAACAATCAAACATCTTCCAGTTTTTGTCTCCAGAGGGGCACCAGACAGGGATGCCCACTCTCCCCCTCACTTTTTGCTATTTTTATTGAGCCTCTGGCTGCTACAATCAGACAAACAAATATGATTAAAGGTATAAAAGGCATGAAAATGGAGCATAAAATTAGTCTTTACGCAGATGATGTATTACTTTATCTCCAGCACTCAAACACTTGCCTCTCTCAAGTGATTAGTTTACTAGAATCTTTCTCAAAAGTCTCAGAATACTCTATAAATTGGTCTAAATCTGTAATACTACCAATTAATTGCTCTCTACAGAATCCCTCAGGTCTACAATTGCAATCAGGAAATATCAAATATTTGGGAATTACTGTGTCATCTAAACTAGCTGAGTTACCAAAACTCAACCACACCCCTCTTTTAATGAAAATAGAAGAGGACCTAGAAAGATGGAAATCGCTTCCGATCTCCCTTTTGGGTCGGGTAGCCTCAATTAAAATGATGGTCTTACCCAGAATTAACTACCTATTTTCAATGATCCCAAATAAACCATCAACCGAATGGTTTAAATCTCTAGATTCTTCCATCTCTAAATTTCTTTGGAAGGACAAACCCCCTCGTATCAGCTTAAAAACACTACAGAAAACTAAAGACAGAGGGGGACTAGATTTACCTAACTTCCAATACTACTATTTAGCAAATAGATTACAATACATCTCTAAATGGATAAAACATAATCCCTTAGATGAGCCCTGGATAGACACAGAACAGGATATATGCAGTAATATAATAATCTCAGATTTGCCGTTTATTAGCTCTAAGATCAAACGGCACCCATGTTTCAAAAATATTAACATCAGCTCTTCCCTGACAGCATGGTGGGAATTTCTAAAAATAACGAACTCATCACTTATCCCGTGCAGTCGTACACCCATCTGGAATAACCCTGACATTCTACAAAACAATAATGTGATAAACTTTCCGTACTGGAAGAATAAAGGTATTACATATCTGGATCATTTGTTTGAAGGTACGGAGTTTATCACATTCGCTAGATTAAATTTGCAATATGGCATTAACAAAAATAAATTCTTAGAATATGAGCAAATCAAAGCTATAATTAGAAATAAATTTAAGCATATTGATGGAGGTTTAATAATTCCAACTAAAATATCAGAGTTTCTAGAGTTAACCCCCCCCAAACTACTGTCTAAGTTATACAGGACACTGACTAAACTGGATGATACAATATCTCTTCCTATTACTAAATGGGAGGAGGATTTATCAGTCAGCTTTGAACAAAACATCTGGGCTCAGATATGTCTAAGAACTTTTAACATGACCAGAAACCCCAATTTACAATTAATACAATACAAAATCCTCCACAGAGTGCACTATACAGGTCAAAGATTATTCAAGATGGGTTTTGCGCAATCTAACATCTGTCCACAGTGCACAGGCAATCGACTTGATAATTATTTTCACGCGCTATGGTTATGCACGCCGGTTCAGAGATTCTGGGTACAGGTATGTAAGGATCTATCACTGTGCCTGGGTTGTAAAATCCTAATTTCCCCTTCAGTTTGCTTGCTGGGTGACTTTGAGGGAAGCTCTATGGGAAAAAAATCGGTTTGCTTGGCATTCACTGCATTATGTATCGCAAAGAAAACTATCCTCATGAATTGGAAGAGTAAGGATAAACTCAACATCAATCAGTACAGAGATCTGTTGTTGGATCATATTAATCTTGAGACAGCATCTGCATCCCCATCAGACCGATCTCTCTGGGCTCCCTTGATCGGCTCCATCACTTAGTGTAGGTGGGGGGCTATGGGGTGCGTCTTGTGGGGCGCGGGGGCTAGTTCGGGGGTCCTTGGGTCCTGGGGGCTCGGGGGGGTGCTCGGAGCGGGGTGCCTGGCGGGTCTGGCCCGGGGGACTGTTGCCCCCGTCGGGGCGGGGTCTGGGGCGCCGCGGGGGGGTCCTGCGGCGGCCGCGTGCGGTGCTCTTGGGGGGTTCCGTGGTGGCGGACGTGGGCTACTGGCCTGGTGGCTGTGCTGCTGCTGGGTGGGGCTGGGCGCCGGGCATCGGTTCTTTTGTGGTGCTGGCCGGGGTGCTTCTGCTCTGCGGGGCGTCGGGGCGTGCCTCGTCTTCCGGTGCCGGGTTTCGGTGGTTGGCCGTGGTGCTTGCCGTGGTTGCGTCGTCCGGGGGGGGCGTGGGTGGTCGCGCCTGTGGCCGGGGTTCGTGTGTGTCTGTTGTGGGCGGGTTGCGGGCGTCGGGGGTCCCTTTGGAGTGCCCCCGGGTCGGGGTGTGGCTTCGCTCTGTTGGGGCGGGTGCCGGTGACGCGTGGTGCGGTGCATCGTGCGCAGCTTGGGAGTGGAGGGTTGCTCGGTGTTTGGCGGCGGGGGGGGGACGGGCCATGGCCGGCGTGGCCGTCCTCCTCTCGGCGGCCTGTGGGCGGTGCGGGGCCGGAGCGGGGTGGGTCGTGCTGCTTTCGCGCCGGGCGCGGCGGGGGTGGTGGGGTCGCGTCTGCTGCTTTCTTTTTGCTGCTTGTGCCGGCTTCTGGCGGCTGGGGCGGCCTTGCTGCTCTGGCTCTCTGGCGTGCGCCGGGTGGGGCTGCTCTGTCCTTTGCTTTGCCTTGCGGCTGTGTTTGCTGTGGTCGGTGGGGGCGGGGTGGTTTCGTTGTGTTTTTGGGTGGGGGAGTCCGCCTGGGGGCTTGGTTGGTGCCGTCGGTTCGTCCTTGTCGGCCTTCCGGTGTTGTTTCTGTTGGGGCTGCTCGGGCCCCCGCATGCCGGCGGTGCGCTGCCGGGGGGATTCCTGTTCGGCGGGCTTGCCTGTCTCCTGGGAGGGCAGGCATGTTGACTTTTCTGGGGAGGAGCATCTGGGTGGAGGGGTCCTCGTGGTGTGGCGGTGGGTGTTGGGCACTGGCTTGTTTGCGGCCGTTCTTCTCCGGTGAGGGGGAGAATATTATAATTTTTTTGTTTTTGTTTTTGTTTGTTTTTTGTGTGGGAGGGGGTGTGTGGGCGGGGGGATCGGGGCTTGGAGTGGGGCTCGGGATTTGCGCTTAGCTGTGTTGTGTGGCTTTCTTCTTCTTCGGATTGGTGCTGTGGGACCGGTGTTGGGGGGAGTCGTTCGGGGGCCGGGGTCGGGGTGGGGGTGCTGGCGCCGGTGCCGGGGGTTTTTGGGCATTGCCCGGCCCTACTGCGGGGTGGGTCTGGGGTGGCTCCTTGGGCCTGGGATCCCTGGGGCGCATTGCCCTTGGGCGGGGTCCCCGGTGGGGGTTCGGGGGTTCGGGTTCTGTGGGGAGTGCTGCTTGGGTTCTGGGCCGGTGTACGCCTGGCTGTCTGTCCCTGCTGCCACGGCCTCTGGTGTGCCGGGGTGCCTCGGGGCCTGCTGGGCTGGGGGGGGGCATGGACATTAACACCTATGGCAAGTGCTTACCCCCTCACGGGTTTGCACTCTGTAAGTGGGGGAAGGGGAGGGAGGGGGAGTAGGTATGATCTCGGCCTGGATGTCTTCTGTCGCTTGTGTGGTGAGTAGCTTGATTGTTATTGTAGGGGAGGGATTACATCTCCGGAGGGGGGGTGGGGGGTGGAGATAGAGGGAAGAAGATCTTTGAAGGGCTTTGGGTCTGGCTCCCTGTCTTGGTCCTGGTCCGTGCTGCCCCCTGGTGGGGCTTCGTCCGGGGTGGGGGCTCTGCGTGTTGCGCGTTGGCTGGCCGGCTGGGATTGTCCCTTCCCTTATTCATTTATTTATTTATTATTATTATTTTTTTTCTTATCTTCCTTTTATATTTATTTATTTATTTATTATTTTTTTTTTTTTATTATTATTTTTTTTTATTTAATTTATTTATTTATTTATTTTTTTTTAATTTTATTTATTTATCTACTTATTTATTTATTTATTTTTTTTATTATTATTATTTTTTTGGATGGACAGGACGGGGGGGGGGTGGTGGAGTCGGCTCCGTGCCCGGCTGGCTGGTGGGTCCTGCTGCCGGTCCCGTGCCCCCGGGCTATGGTGGTGAAACTGGTGGGGCCCCCTTCTCTGGGGGGGCTCTCGGGGAACGGGGCTGCCTATTGGAGTCAGCGGGGGAGCTGGCTCCCTGGGAGTGCAGCAGGCACCCCAGTCCTTTGCTCCCCATCCCCGAAATCCTCCCTCTGCCTGCTCCATCACTCGGCCACTCATGTAGGTTTTTGGGGAGGGGGTCGTTACTGGAGGGCCACACCTTCTGATGACGTCCCCCACCCCAATTTTATTTTGCATTTTAGACACTTCCATCTACATCATTTTCACAACACACATCTATGTAGGGCATTTTCGGGGGGTGGGGGTCAGGGCCACCGGGGGGGGGCTTATTTTATGGGCCTCACCACGGTCGGCCTCCTCCATCCCCTCTCGCATCTAGACATTGAGGGTTGAGGGTTGTCGAAGGGGGAGGGTGTGCTGGCACCGTCTATCTCCTGGAGGGGGGGTGGAGTGTGCCGGACACCCCCTCTTGGTACTCCCAGTTTTAATTGCATCTGAGAGCAACACGCAACAACACCACATTCGAGCGGGCGCAGTGAGGATCGGGGTCTTCTCACACCCCTGTTCTCCGGCTGCCGCCTGGAGTCTGGGGCCTGGAGGAAGAGCGGGCCACCTGGTCCGTGGTTTTGGCTGGGGCTGGCTGCGGGGCCTAGGTGGCCTGCTGGTGGCGGGGCTGTCACCTCTGCTCTCCCCAAAGAAGGTTGGATGGAGGGGCATGAAGTGCCTGGTTGAAGGTTTTTTTTTTTTTTTTTTTTTTGTTCTTTTCGGGGGGGGGGGGGGGGCGGTTCTGGTTGGGTGGCCGGCGCGGGATGGGTGGGCCCCGGTCCCGGGGGGGGGCTCTTGCGGGGGGTGGTCCGGTCCGTGTGCGGGGTGGGGGGCCGGGCTTGAAGCAGGAAAGAGATGGGTTGGTGTGGCGGTGTCGCCGCTCCCCTCCCCTCACATCCGGATTTTAGGTTCACTTATGGGGTCATCCGATAGTCCCGGGACCGACCACCGGTGTCACCGGGTTTTTGGTCCTGGTATTATTGGATGTGAGTGTTATGTGTGAATGTGTGTCTGCGTTGTTATTTTCTTTATTTATTATTATTATTATTTTATTCAATTTTTTTTTTTTTTTTTTTTTCCTGTGGTACGAGTGGGGGCACTAGGGAGGGAAGGCATGATTGAGATGGTGTGTTTTTTTTTTTTTTTTTTTTTTTTTTTCTTTCCCAGGTTGGGGTCTCAACCGCACCCTCTCCCAAATACATCTCAAGTCTCCGCTAAGTGCGGAGCCCATTCCCCCCGTCCTGCTCTCCCTCCGCTGGCTGGCGTCGGGGCTCACCGGTGCACTGGTGGAGCTGGGGGTGGATGCCCGGGGGACTGCTGGCTCATTCCTGGCGGCCTCTCCACTGGCCCCGGCCGGCCGGGGCTTTGCTGGGGCTCCTGTCTGGGGGTGGGGATGACCTTGGGGCCTCGGATCCCTGGGGCCTGGGACTGGATCCGCTTCGGGGTGGGGCTGGGTGTTGTTCGGGGATTTTCGGGGTCGGTGCCAGTGCCTTCGCTACAATGCCGGTTCCTGGGCGGTGTTTCTTTCCTATGCCGGTTCTGTGGTATCGGTTCGGGGAGGGGGGGAGCTGCGCGGCATGGTGGGGTGCGGGTCTTGGGTCCTGTTTTGGGCTCCGGTTTTTCCGCTCGCACTTCTCCTCTTGCCTATTTATTTTAATTGTAATTATTAATTAATTTATTTATTTACCTATTTATTTGTTATTTTTTTTTTTCTTTTTTTTTTTTTTCTCTTCCTCGGTGGGGGGGAGCGGTTGCGGGCGGGTCGGTGTCTGGTGTCCGCTGTCGCATTGTGGGGGCCCCTTTTTTTTTTTTTTTTTTTTTTTTTCTCTTTTTTTCTTTGGGGGGTTTGGCATGTCTGTTTTCTCGGGGGGCAGGCGGGCCTGCTGGGTGGGGGTCCTGCTGGCGGCGCGCCGCTGGTGTGTGGGGGTCCGGGCGGCTCCGGCGGGGGTAGTGTTGGGGGGCCGGTCTGGGCGGGCTGGCTGCGCTGGCTGGGTATTCGGGTGGGTTTTCCCTCCTGGAGGCATGGCGGGGCTGCTCTGTTCCCACTGATCGCGGCGGGTGGGGCTGCGGGGCGGGTGGGGGCCTGGGGTGGCTATGACCGGCGCGTGGTGGGGGGCCGGGGCGGCGGAGCTGCTCTGGCCGCGTGTCGGGGCCTGGTGCGGGCTGCGGGGGGGGGTGGCGGACGTGGCTGGGCTGCTTTGGCATCGTCCGGTGGGGGGGCGGCGCGGTTCGCTCCGCTCTGGCTTTGTGCTGCCCCTCGGGCTGCTGGGGGGGGTGGTTGCGCCGGCTGCGGTCTGCTCCTCTTGCGGTTTTGCGCCGGGCGGCTTTTCTGCTCTCGGGCTGATTCTGTGCGCGGTGTGTTTCGTTGCGCGTTGTTGGCATCGGTCTTGGTGGGGTGGGGCTGCGCTTTTGGCCGGGGGGGCGTTTTGGGGGGGGTCCCGCGGCGCTCGTGGCCGGTTCGCGGCGGATGCGCATGGGCCCCGGCCGGGGGCGGGGCCGTCTTAGTGTTTTCCTGGGTGGTGCGGTCGCGGTGGGTGTTGCGGCCGGTCGCCGGGGCTTGGTGCGGGGGGGCGGGGCGTGTTTCGGTGCTCTGTGGGGCTGGGGCGTTTCGGTCGGCGCCGTGGGGGGGCTGGTGTTCGGCGCCCGGCCCTACTTCGGGGTGGCCGGCTGCCGGCGGGGCCCGCGGACTCGTCCCCGCGGCTCCCCGGGGCGCCGGCATGGCGGTGGCTGGGGGGCTTCCTCGTGGCTGTCTCTCCTCCTGCCTTGGTGGGGTCTGATTTCCGGGGCTGGCCCCGCCTTGGTGCCTTCGCTTCTGGGGTCCCCTTGGGCGCCTGGGGCTTTGGGTCTCCCGGCGCTGGACTCAGTGCTCTGGGGGGTGTGCCTCTCCGGCTCTCCACAACCACTATTGAGCATTTTTTTCTATGGTTAAAACTTTACATGCACAAGTTCACCCTCACAAACAACTACAGGTGCTAGGCTTCAGGTACTTAGAGATTCACTTCCAAACAGAAACCCCACATTCATATCTTCAGGTAACACAGAGTACATGTCAGACTTAATAATATTACTTTAGTGATAGTTTCAAGGTGTTTGCTTTATTGTATATCTCGTACCATGTTTTTTGGTTGTGCTGTTCTTTTTTCTTTTTTTTTTTTTTTTTTCTCCATCTCATTACAGGTGTTGAAGCAGACTGAAAATGTTTTGTCATTGTCTCCTTCCTATCTCCTCTTTCTTTCATCTTTTGTCCTGTTTTTTTCTTTTTCTTTTTCCTTCTTCTTCTTCTGTTTTTCTGCTCTACTTACATTGCAGTGTCCATATGAACTCTAAAACTCCCTGCATAATTATAATAAAGCAATTTATATACATGAAACAAGTGGAGCGGTATGGCAATTGCGATACCGCTACACTTGTGAAAGTAAAATCTGTTGGGCTCCTTTTGGCATCAAGACAATTATTCTTATTGCCACCTTGCCAGACAGGACACTGTAAAAAAAAAAAAAAAAAAAAAAAAAAAAAAAAAAAAAAAAAAAAAAAGTTAAACTTTACATTTAGAGAACTGAGCTATAAATGTATCAGAGGCTCTGTGGTCCATATCCAGATAAAAAGTCAAAGTAGATGGGTAAATTTTGCTTTCTTAGGTCCAAGAGTTATGCAATGGGAAAACTGAAATGTTTGTCTTTATTATATTTTGACTACTGCTACATGTCAATAAATAGACTATAATTAAAAAGATTTATTTTAGTGATTTAATTGAACAAAAACAAAACTAGCAGAACAGGTCATGTGTTTGCAGTGCTATTTCCAAGCCTGTCAATTGGAAGGAAAACCTTTCGCAGAACAACAAGATAAAACGGCAGGAAAACCAGCAGTTATACAGGAATGTGAAGCAAACCTCTATTATTTTACATTTCTATTCTGGACGTTCCATTGCTCCATTTTTATATTATTTTTTATTCTATTTGCTTTATTATGATATAGTGTAATATAACTTACCATGAAATATTAACTATATGAAAATGGCTTTTAGATTGTATTCCTCTTTGAATTACAGATTAGTTTTATCATAGTTATGCACTCAATATATATATAATTTTTTGTTTTTAAATCAGATTCATAACCGCTACGAAGGAAAGGACATTTCAAAGCATAAGAGGAACTTGGTGATAGCTGGTGGCGTGACACTGTCGGTGATTGTATCTCCAGTGGTTGCTGCTGTCACTGTTGGTAGGAGAACCTTTTTTTATCTTGCCTTTTTTGATATTTGTAATATATTATGAGATTCCAGTCTAGGGAAACTGGGTGAAATTACATTTGTTTTTGTTTCTATTCTTCCTGAATCTCTTATTTAATATAGAATGGAAATGTTTATTGTCTTGAACGTATTCTACTTCCTGTGTGTCTTAGGTATTGGCGTTCCCATCATGCTTGCGTACGTCTACGGGGTTGTCCCAATCTCTCTGTGTCGGAGCGGAGGCTGTGGGGTTTCCGCCGGCAACGGAAAAGGAGTTCGAATTGAGTTTGATGATGAAAATGACAACATAGGCACCGGGGCAGTAGCTACAGGTGAGAATCCCCGAAATGAGGTAAATGATGTAGCAAAGTTGAGCCAACAACCATTAAGATGGCATGCAAACAATTTTAAATAAAGATTGGTATTATTTTTTGCTATATTTTTTTCATTTTTCTTTTTAAAGAAAATAATCAGTTAACTGGCTGCGCTAATCTGCAGAAAAGATGGGGATTTGCACAGAAGTACGTGGAATGCAATTACACTGAAACTAATGTTCATACCGGTGGATTTTGTACACAGAGCATACTTACATCAGGTGTTGGTTTAAAACATTGTTTTGTGAAAGGTTACTGCCAGGCCCAGGACAAATATTTGTGCGCGTGTGTGTGGGTTGAGCCTCTTAGTTTCCCCGGGGCTGTTGAGCGTGAGAGAGGCAACATGTTTTTCTCAGCCTCTGTCAACAGCGAGAGTAAGAATTTAAGACCACATTGACTTCAGATAGTCTGACCATCATGAGAACAAGAAGAGTAAAAGCAAAAAAAAAAGAAGTTTGTATATTGTGGTTGAAAAAAATCTATTTCCTATCAAATCCCTTCATAATATTTTCATATGAGTACTGATTTTCTTTTAGTGTTCACTCAGGCCATCTGCAAGGCTACACAGTGTCTGCGTGACAGGGTGTTTTAAACACAACAGAAGATAATTTTTCTCCTTCACATTTTAGACTCCTTCCTATCAAGGTTTCTTCAACATTTTACTGTTTTCCTCACATTGTATGTAACTTGTTTTTAAATCTGTATAAAGAAGAGCCTTTGTAGCTTTTTGCAGGCTTCGTAAGAATTTAGGGAAAACATGTATGATTCATTATCTATCTGTATCTGTCCTTCCTTGCAAGGTATTTAATATAAAATGCTGGCTTGAATGAGAAACAGAGGATCTCAATTTATTGTTAAAGAAGTCACAATATGTTCCTAATTTTTATTTATCTCTTTAATAGTTTAACAAATTCATACACAATTTTAGTTTTTTAATATTAAGATTTTATTTTAGTCGTATTGGCCACCAAAGTTCTTTTTTTTGTCCCACTATTATGTAGATAAATACATTTAGTTTTTTTAATCTCATTCCCAGACACTACGTCTGTGGCGGAGACACGGCTCAACAACCCGAGCCTCGGAGACGGCGCAAGCGTCGGAGGTTTGACTGGCCTCAGCGTCAGCGGGAGCCACATGGAGCGCTGTGGCGTGAGCTCAGCTCAGCGGGACAACATGAGCGACAACGCCAGCACCACGGCACTTGCTGGGACCAGCATTACGGGCAGCCTGTCTGGCAGCTGCTATAACAGGTAAAAAAAAACATGAAGATCTCAGTGCTGCTTAATTATGGTATTGAAAACATGTGACTTGGAAAGACTATCTTGTTTCTCCACTTCTAACCCACCCTTTTTTTTTCTTTTTGACGAGCAGTGTAACTGATTACTTTTTATTTCTTATAATTGCTTTTGGAAGGATGGAAGTGCAGGCTGATGTCCAGAAGGAGCGCTGCAGTTTAAGCGGCGAGTCGGCCACCGTCAGCCTGGGGACGATCAGTGACAACGCCAGCACCAAAGCCATGGCCGGCTCCATTCTCAATGCCTACATGCCGCTTGAAAGGTTAGCATTCAGATCACACCCATCCTGCAATCAACAGTTTCTCACACCCTGGCTGGAAAAGATCCTAAGCATTTTAGGCTCATGTTGACATCATAATGTCATGCTGCACTCGGCCCTTTGTGACACACCCCACCATGTATTTGGACTCTACATGTACAGGAGAATATGTAGCATTTATTATTTTTTAGGTAAATGGATCAGTTAGACTAATGTCCAACAAATCTGCATCACCCTTGATATCAAACATAAAAATAAGCTAGTATCTTAATTTGAGAAAAAAATAAAATTAATTTGAAAATCCTTAAAGTTTCTTAAAACTAGAATTTTGATTTTGTTTTTTAGTGTTTCAAAAGTGCATTTAGATTTTGAGTAAAATGGTTAAAGCACATTTAATGGCTCGCCACATCTTTTGTTCATATTGATCTTCTACAGATTAGAGAATTAAATGCAGAATAAAAATAACAATGAAGGTTTGGTTGAAGGACAATTAAAGTAGAATTTAATCAAGTTTAAAGCTTTTACTTTTTTCAAATTACAAAGTTTTTTATGTTTCCAATGAATCTGCAGGATAGAAAGAACTTTAATTCCTCGAGAATAAAATGGCGTAATACAAATAAAATGATGTTTAACTGTAAATGAGACATACCAAAACACATATATTTTATAAGAAAGAGTTTAAGAATAATTTCAGTCAAAAAAAATCTAACATAAAACATAAATTACAATCCTGTCCGCCAAATTTAATTTTATTTGATAAGTAAAAAAAATAAATGTATTAAATTAAGCCACAAATTGTGTGTAGTTGTGAGAGCTAACCATTGAAATGCCAGACATATGTTTGAATTCCACATCCAAAGGTTTGTATGTTTAAAGTCTTGTGATGTTATTTTGCAGAGACGGCAGCCTGGAGGTTCCCGCTGACTCTGAGTCCAAACAGGACAAGGTGAGACACGGCAGTGCCAGCAGCAGCATGGATGAGACCAGCTGCAGCAGTGGTCCGGCCGTCATCAAAAGAGCAGGCGCTGACGGGTGTTTATGCTCATGTCCCTCCACATGCTGCTGTGGACAGCCCAGCAACCAGTGTGGCCCCTCTTCCTCTTGTTCTAAGGACCCTATCACTACTGTGGGCAAAACATGCAAAAGTAAGCTTTGGAGAAGAGCAAGCAGTAGCAGCAGCAGCAAAGGAGACAGAAGAGTGAATGAAAAACAAGGCGACATCGATGCTCAGTTTCTGGAGCAGCGGAGCGCTAACTCCTCCGAGCTGGATTCACCGTCTCTGAGCGGTAGCCTGCCTTCAGTGGCCGACTCGCACTGTAGCCACTTGTCATCCGAGTTCAGCTGCTCCGACCCTGAAACCCTAAAACCTAGCCAACCGGCCAGCTCATCCCAGATTGACCCTCCCGCTCATCAGCCCACTATCACACCTTTGCCTGAGGTGGAGCATGACCGCCTCGAGAATCTCCCAGCTCAGAGTGGCCACGCAGCCTTCAGCCATCGCCTGCTGTCTTCATCCCCACCCGCTTCACCTAGAAAGAGAAGCAGTGGGACTTTCCTGTACATCAGCGAGGACGGCAGCGGTGGAAACACAAAGCCAGAGAGGTTTGTTGAAGAAACCACCAGAAGCACTGCCGAACAGCCTGTGAGCCCCACAAGGAAGCGATGCATACAGACAGATATTTGAAGGTACCCTTCCTTACTTTTGCTGTGTTACTGCTGCAAACTGTGTTCGCTTCATCATCAAATCTCAACATCCCCTTAAAGCTAGGAAGCTGAAGATCAGGGTTTATCAACGCAGTTATTTTGATTAGTAACATAGGGTGAGAAGGAAGTAGGCAGGAGATTTATGGATGTGTATACACAAAGAAGATCATTTGGATCTCTGGTTTTAAGTTTCAGTCAAGTTTAAAGAGCAGTGAGCTTGTTTGCAAGTAGATTTGAATGTATGAGGACATGTTTGAAGCAGGCTTTAAACTTTGTGAGATTCTGCAGATCTGCGGTGTGTTGCAGAGAGAACAGTTTCCTACAAAACATAATAGTTTCCTAAAACCCGGATCAAACCAGCGTTACGGATGCCCCAATCAGGATAATTTTATCCTAAATACCCAACTGACACATTTAACACTTTAGTGTGGTTATCAAGTCCCAGATGAACATGGAAACACATTTACTGTCCCATGAATTATTTTTAATATTGGAGCTTTTATGTGCTGTTAAAAAAATAGATAAAAATGGTATGGTTTTTCATTAGTGTCAGGATTATACCTCATTTAAAATACTCTTCTGACTCCCACTACTTGGTTGTCCTGACATGCTAGCCTAAAGCTAGCATAGTTTTATTTAGGATATTTCCAATCAGTAGTGATCAGCCTAATAACATTCCAGTCAGCTTCTAGCTCAGTTACAGACAAACTTGCTTAAAAAGTTGCTCCTTATCTCAATCAGTGAAGCCATTTGCTTTGAACATTATAAAATTCAATAAGCAGCATTTGACCTGCTTTCCATGTCGCATTTTCTACAAAGACATGTTTTGTTTTTTTGTTTTTTCAGTGCAGCAAAGAGCACAATATGACAAAAAGGAGAGGGGGATTTAGATCTTTGCATACAATATGAGGCCTGTAGAACAGCTAGTGACTTTTAAAATGCAAAAACCTGCCTTAAAAATTGCAAATACAAATCTTGCTGGGGGTGAGGCAGGAGTTAAGCTATTGGTCATTTTGAAATGTTTTTATCGGGACATGCCTAGTTTTAGAATATGTAGTGTAAGCTGCTATCATAAACCTTCTTATTAAATCTGCAAAAATGTTTCCTCTCTGGTTTAGCAGAAATCAGAGAATGATCTGATATTGTCACTGTGTCGCCAGTTTACCCTTAAAGTCCCTCAGGATGGTTAAAGTGACTCTGGGGTGTTGAGGTGGGACCAGACGATACAACAGCTTTGTATATTTTTCCTAATCAGACATAAGAAAAATTCTGTATTTGTTTTTGTTTAAGACGTGACTCATGTTTGTGTCCTATATATTTGCTTATTTTTATGGTAAACTTTGGGAAAGTGGCTTTAAAAGTTAAAGCCCTATGGTCCAAATTTGTTGGTATAATCAAATGAGAACTATCAGTTTGAATACTGATTTCTGTGCTTAAATGTTCTTAGTTGAAACCAATGACTTTCATGCAGTTACTGTTCACGATCTCTGCTGATTTATCAGATTTCACTACATGTTCAGAGTACTGTTGATGCATGAAAGGTAACTTTAATACAATTGGTTCAATTGTATATGCTACAAAGAGAGGAGCTCTATTTTCTTTTTTTTTTTTCTATAAAAATATGTAGCATCACTTAAAAGTTACAGGGCTTTTTAGAGATAAAATTGTAGATAACCAACCAAACATTGTATTTGCAATAATAAAATAAGCTTCTTAGATGACTATACAATAAGAACTGATGTCTCTTCTGTGGAAATGCATCAGCTTTATTTTGAAAATATCTTGTGCAATTAGAAACTGCTTCTGTGTAACCAAGCACATTCATCCTATTTAATATTGAGCAGTGACTGTACAGTATTAGATTTATGTTGTTTTGAATCCAAATGAAACATTCTGGATATACTTTATTAGCAGGCATTTTTCTTTTTCTTTTAGCAAATGGCTGATTCAAGAAATTGTATTTGTCCAACCTACAGTGCCTTGGGTAAATGTCCTGTGTGGTGTTTTTACTTTATTTCATTCTGTCTTCATGTGATAAATATGAAAAAATATTGTTGAAATGTCTTCTGCCTATAAACAAATTGTAACAAAAAGACAAAATCTTAAAGGAAAAACCAGCTTACGAGTTCTAAGAGCCATTTTGGCCTTCCAAAGACTCCTTTCAGGCTATGTTTTGCTGAGTTGCTCCTACTGTACTGTCCAAATTGACAATGATTACACCAAAATGTTTCCCTGTAGCTGCCAAAGTCTGTGTACGAATACGGCGCATGTTGGCATTAAAATATGTTGAATTCAGAGCAGTTTGCTTCATCAGCTTCAGACTGCACTAAAGCTTCATCTACGGTTTTGCAGCCTGACAACTTAGCTGATATCTACCAGCTGCTTTCTGAGCTGCTCAACAGTGATTAGGAATTTCTCACTCTCTTTTAGATAAACCTCACACAGTTTATTTTCCTCATGTCTGAACTCCTTATTTAATTTAATTTCTCTGTTTCTATTTAAAAGGCTGATGTCATGTTTTTATTTCTCTAATTTTGGTGAAAAGAGGCTTATGCTATTTGAAACCTTCTGTATTTTGATTCCTTGCATTTGAATGTGCATGTCAATGCATATCCTTAAAAAATAAAAATGTCAATCAAGCATTTTGTGACTGTTTATTAGAACATTTTGTTTGGGGTTTTTTTTCTGACGCCTCTGTTATTTTCAGATTTTCCACCAAACCATTGCAAACCAAAAGATCTCAGCACATTTTTTACCATTTTCCATAATTTTTAATTCCCTTTCCATGTATAGCTTCCCTTTAATAACCACATGACATTTATTTTTTGTCTCAATCTAAATAAACGTTTTAAGAAAACTTTCCCTTAGGGGTAGTGAAAGCAAAATTACAACAAACGCAGGACTCATGGTAATTTATTCACATATTTATTTACATACAGTTCATGCCTTAACATTCCATGAGGGAATAAAAACATTTTCAGAATAAGCTGAGCTTTGCTCCTCAGTACTAGAAGCAATTATCTTATTTGAAAACACACCTAATTAAATAAAAGCTGTGGCACATTGCTGTATAGCGTTGGATGTAGATTTTACATCCCTGTTCCTGTTAAGTATGTCAACTAGATGTATTCTCTTTCAGAAATTAGATTTTTTTCTTTAGCCCTCTGTGGTTTACTTTCAAAGCTTAAGTCTTTTATTTTGCCTCAGTGCAGGTCATTTGATTTTAAGTTGTCAAAAAAAGTCCCTTGTTTTTTTTTAGTTTTTTATTTTTATTTTTTTTTTTAGAAAAGCACCATATCTGAATGGCATGTGTATAGTTTATCCAGAGTAATTCAGGTCAGGGTAACAAATTATTCCTATGCAATGATGCAGTAAAAATTGGGTAGAAATATGTGTTGCCTGGCTGTTTAAAAACCTTCCCAGGCTTTTTAAAGTATAGCTTAAGTATTGTTTGTTTGGCTCTTAATGTTAATATCCAAGGTTTTCATGTGTGCAGTGTACTGTTATTTTTAAATGGTGTATGATGATGAGAGGTTGATCCACACCATCAACTTTTATATAAAATATTTAATTTATTAAATACTGGCGTTCCCCAGAGGGATAAACATTTTATATTGCGACTTTCAGATTCTCCATGTGTATTCTCAACCTCAGTGCTAATGCTTTTGCTTTTTGATTATGTCTACTGTGATCTTGGTGTAGGTAAATATGATCCTGTACACACGTTGTACTTAAAGCAACCACAGGGCTTTTTACAGATGCACCAAACATCCTTATCCCCCTATTTAGTTCACCAAACCTGACTCATCGAGGAGGTTTTATGACCATTTCTGAGTAACCAAGTCAAGCAATCCTATTTCATCCCTCCTGTTCTCAAGATAAGCCTATAATGATGGTAATATCGCTGGAAGATTTTACTATGAAGCAATCTGGTAAGTCACAACCTTTTTTTCCCCCCCTGTCTAACTGGATTTTAGAGGCTGTTGGTCTGAATTTGAATCCATTTGAATGAGAGGATAGTGGGAACTAAAGATTAGGTCGATGACAAGGAGGCCTTCCTGGTTCATCATCAAAGATAAAGCTCCAAAATATAATTTGAATGATGAAAAGGGTGTGATTACTCTGATATACTGTTTGTACACACTGGTTATTGGTCATTTGTGGCAAGCAATTAAAAATAACACCCCTTTTAAATAGTTGTATCTCTTAAATTGCATAGCTAATTGTTTTTACTGAAATCCGTTTGATCTAGGGCAAGTTTGAAAGCAATATTTAACGTTAAACTATTTTCGTATCAGCCCTATAACTTAAGATGAATTTAATGCATTTTAAATTCAAATCAATTGAAGAGAAATTAAATGTAACTAATAGGCTGTTTTGTTTTAAAGAGTTAATGTTGATAGCTGCACCAGGTGATTCACAGGCCAAAAAACTTCATCAAGAAACAAAAGGACATTTTGTGTGTCTGTATTGTTGTTCCTTGTATCAACAAATCACAGGTCTTAGAGAGCTTGTAAAAAATTGACCCAAATGTCTCTAAGGGGATCTAGAAGAGCAAAACACTTTTTTTCTCATCTACTATAATCTAATTACTACATCTGTCTAAAAAAAAAAAAAAAACGCTTATAATAATTAAAGATCTACAATCTGTTAAGTGACCTGTACCCAAAATGTCAAGAATTAGAAGTAAATTCCCTTTTTTTTTTACATGGCTCAGTAAAACACTACTCATCTCTTTCTTCTCAGTGTGTTACAATCTACACCAGTATAAAATATATCTGATTAGTTTCCCTCCATTATTTCCAGCTCAATGAAATAAACATCTCTCAAACTAAAATGCTTTAATCTTTTTGTATTTTATCCTAAGTGTGTTAGAAATTTCAGTAAGGCACACAATGTCCACTCTCTCCTTCCTCCTTTAATCCACACATAACAGAAATTTAATGTCTTTCACATGTAACTGTACAATAGTTTACGTCACAATGGTAATGATAAAAACTGCAGGCAGATTACACATACCTTGACGTTAGCTTTTTCAAATTAAGCATCCTGTTTTGTAAGCGGTGTGCAGAGCAGTTGTGCATTACACAAGACATGTACCGGTAATGCTGAGAAGCTGGTTATTCATTGCGCTTCAGAGTAACTGGCTGTCATTCTCCCTTTTTAGTCCACTGATAACTGGAAAAGGGCTTCTACAGTGAGGCATAAAAACAGCTGGGCCAAATATCCAGGTATTGCAAATGGCTGTCAATGGCCAGCCAAAATCTTATCTGTGGGATCCTACTTAAAGCTCTAAATGGACAAGCTCCATTGTAGGTCAGAGGTTTGATTACTCGATAAGTTCTGAGTGAGCTCCTTCTCACCGGGCTAGTGGTTTATATTTCTTTAAAGTTGATTTGGAGGCAGATCTTTTAGTTTTTAGGTTCATCTCATGTGAACCAACTTCCAGTTTTAGTCCATGAGGACCAAAAGTAGGCTTAAGTTTCCTTTTCAGTAAAGCTTATAAGGTACAGTGGCTTAGGGTATCCTCAGCTATCTCTGTAGCTATGCTGCTATCTTCTTAAGATGCTGGAAGACATGCTGTACTTTTTTTTTTTTTAAGGTGTGACATTTTCCTTAAAATGGGTACCAGACTTACTGCTGCTGCCAACAACTTTATGTTCTCCTTCTAATAAACCTTTCTGCCTTTACCCTCGCCACTCTTCACCCAAAGCAACTGAAATAACCTCTATTGTGAATAATTCTGTAGTATTAATTCTATACGCTCAAAAACTGGGAGAATTACCTCTCATCTGCTTAGGTGTGTTTCTCTCTTATACGACTCAACTTAAGGAGCTATTATCTTTAACCCTTGTCTTTCATTAAAGAAATAACACCTGGAATAGTGCTTCTATGTGTTTTGTCTTTCTGCCTGAAAGTTCAAGCTTAGGCACATATTATTATTCACAACAGTCAACCATACTTTGCAAAATCAACAAGATCTGAATTGAAAAAATAAGAGGTACATGTCCCTGTTTTTTTATGAAGCTGATTTACAGGACATGTCGGATTTGAACTGTAGATTTAAAACAAGCACTAACAAGATAACATCAGAATGTGGTAAAAATGTTGCAACAATGATACATGTTGATTCTTTTTGTACCTTTTAAAATAAGAAAAAAATATATACTGCTTATTTTTATTGAAATAGTTGGAAATATATGTGTTAACTTCTTTTCAGTTGAAAAGTTATTCTCTTTTTGCTCTGATCAATACAGAAAAAGCTTAAATATACCTGAAGACCCCAACTTCTAGCATGCCATTGTGCAGTCTCCACCTGTGCACAATGAAGTGTCACCATGTCTGCAGGGGTTGATCAGATTTTTTTCATAACTTTTTTGATTTCTTGTAAAAACTTGTGTGCAATTTTTTCAATCCATTTCATACAGACTTCCCTAAATGTGTGGAGCTGTGTTGGTGCCACTGAACATTTGTTCTGAGTTTAAGCCTCATGTGTGTTCAGTCTTGTCTATCAAGCTTTGCCTCAGTAGACACGTCACCTCTTCAAGCTCCTGCTCAGCCTCGTGGACTTTGGGGTCCAGCTGGAGGACCTCCTGGAGGTCGCCGCTGGCTGACAGGTAATCCTGGCATGTGATTACAGAAAAACAACATCAGAAAAAAAGGTAAAAAAAAAAAGAAAAGAGTGGTAGGGATGTGTTTATCACCTGCAGTCCCTTAAAAGCCAGCGCCCGTCTGTAGAAGGCTTTCTTGTTGGCTGGATCCATCTGCAGTGCAGAGTCACAGTCCTGTTTGGCCTCTTCATACCGATTTAGTTTAAGGAAACAAATTGCTCTAGTAGGGAAAGACAACCATTCGGTTTTTAAAAAAATATTCTTTTTTTTAAAACATCTTCCTAAAACACAAAAAAGAACATCCATGGCTCTAACAATGTTTCCATACCAAGTCTTTTAACCTCTTAGATTACGTATTGCTGCAACTAAATTCTTGTTAAGGGCTGAACCTTTATTATCTGGGTATAAAAATACGATGCAACATAACATTTAATGTGTTTGAATAGACATATCTTCCCTTAGTAAATACTGTATATAGTGCCCTCTGCTGTTTGTGTAAGATTAAAGTCACTGAAGAGAATGTTAGAAAAACTTTCTGGATTAATAACACAATATTTATTATGTGGACGGACTGGAGAGTTTAAGCAGACACATTTATCAGCCTGGTTTAGGTTAAGTTCTGATGTTCTGTGTATTTTGGATCACTGTCCTGTTGAAACAGTCAACTATGTCTAAGTTCCAGCCATCTGTCCCAAAGATTCACCCTTAGATTAAACAAAAGCTCAAGCCTATCATAAACTGGAAAGTTTAATATCAGCATGGACTTAGAAGTTGCTGGCCAATAATCAAGCTCTTGCTCTAAAGTGGACAGCTCATAGCTCATAAAAACTGAGCTTTTTGGTCATGAGGACCAAAATAAACTTAGTAAGAGTCAAGGTGAGGCATTAAAACTGGATAACATTGTACAAAGTTATCAAACGCGGCAGTAGTATCATGATGTGGTGAGGATTGTTGTCAGTGGTACTAGTGCAACAGACAAGATGAGTGGGATTATGAACACCAAGAGCATCCATCTAAATTAAAAAACACCAAACTGACCCTGTTAACGATGGATATAGTTCGCGTAAAAGCCAGATCTGCAAAAAGCAATAAAGATATTAACATTTTTGACCTTTTTTGATTACAGGGGCTCTTCTATAACCTATATTTTAATTATGTATTTCAAATAATTAACTGTTGAAATCCATTATTAAATAGCTAATATATTAGGATATTCATGCTCATAATGAATGTATGTAAAGTTTGAAGTAAATTCTTCTCTTCAGCAAATCAAGCTTTGTGTGTTTTCCTAAAACATGAATGTTCCTGTGTGGTTTGGACTAACCTGTTTGTGTAAACGGTACATTCATCAGGTTTTATGGAGAGACATTCACTGTACTTCTCCAGGGCCTCCTGGAAATGTCCCTTCTTCACCAAACTGTTGCCTTCATGTTTGAGTAAAGTGAAGGAAGCCTCTTTTCTTCTAGCTACAGAGAACAGAGAATTTATCAAAACCTCTAAACATAAACAAGCACATAAAAAAAAGCCTATAGCTACTTTTCATGAAGGGTCAGTTTTCATCACTGTAGGGTTGTTTTTTTCCCTATGCATCAGGGGATGACTGCATTTAATGGATACCACTTAAGAAGCCTGTTAGGACTTTTTCGGGGCCTATCAATAAATGAAGCAGAGCAGATGAGTCGATTCCTCCTGAGCTAGCTGTCTGCTGTGCTGAGGAAGCCTCTACAACTAATGACTAAATAATGAAAATTTCCTAACGCAGCCCCACACTCAGCACACACATTTCCACAGTTTATTAGATACATTTCAGTGTAAATTTCTGCCAAATTTATGACTCATTACGAAAGAAAAGAAAATGAAGAGTCTGTCATCATTTAAGGTAAACTTGAATTTGTTTGCATATTTCCAAATTTTTGTTTTGAATATCGGTAATTGGACTGGCCTTCAGAAATAATAGTGTTAAAATGAATTAATCAAAAGTCAATATAATACAGAAGCTAATCAGTTGTATTGTTTATCTGTTTATCTGACTTAACTCTAAAAGCAAATGTTAATAAAAATGCAATTACAATGATAAATGTCTCTGTTTCTATAGCTTTCTATGTTAGTTTATACAACATACAGCCTTTAAACATGTTCTATATGCTTTTTAAATGCTCCAAAGCCATAAAACTGACCATGGCAACATTTTGTTCATTGTGTGCTTAAAATAGGAAAGGTAGACAAAGGCTAAAAGCCATTGACAGCAGAGTCAAAGTGCCTGATATGTGCAAAATGCTCGTTCTTGGCCCTCGGTCCTGGGATTATTGGATCTGAATGTTATGTGTGAATGTGCGTACGCCATTTTATTTTATTTATTTTTTCAAAGAGTCTATGTTTTGCGAGTGGGCGCACTAGGGTGGGAAGGTGTGATTGAGAATGTGTATATATATATATATAATTTTAATTTTTTTGTCAGGTTTGGGTCTGAACTGCTCCATCTCAAGTCTCCGCTAAGTGTGGAGCCCATTCCCCCCGTCCTGCCCCCTTCTGCTTGCTGGTGCTTCGGCCCGCCGGTGCACTGGTGGTGCTCAGTGTTTGGGAGTGGTTGCCCGGCTGGGTGCTGGCTTATTCCTGGTCTTATGGCCGATTCCACTTCAGGGTGGCTGGCTGACGGTGAAGCCCCCGAGCTCGTCCCCGCGGCTCCTGGGGGCTTGTGGGGATGTCCTCTGGGCCTGGGTTGGCCCCTCCTGGGCGTCTTTACTCTGGGGATCCGGCGCTTGCCTCTGTGCTCTGGAGGGGTGGCTCTTCACAACCACTATTGAGTATTTTTCCTTTGGATAAAGTTACTTGCACATGTGCACTCTAACAACTACAGGTGCTTGGTTCCAGGTACTTAGAGATTAACTTCCAAACAGAAAGCGCATATACTTATCTACAGCTACCACAGTATACATGTCAGATTAAATATTACTACTTATACTTCAGCGATAGTATCAAGGTGCCACTTAATTGTATCTCTTATACTATATGTACTATATGCTGTGAGATGTTTGTCACAGCAAGAGTTAATACCCTACAAGCTGTTCTACGAAAGTTAATGTATAAGTTTATTTGTAGGTTAAATGCATCTGAAAACGATATTATTTTGTCACTCCCTGATACCACACGTAGTGCAATCCGATATCAGTCTAAGCTGTGGGGACACTGGTATTCCTGTCTTCTTAAAGATCCTATTTAATCGATAATGGTACTTGTATTGTGTTTTTATCATTAACTATTTTTATTTTATTTTTATGTATGTATTTATTGGACCATGAGTCTGGAATAAAGTTTATCTATCTATCTATCTATCTATCTATCTATCTATCTATCTATCTATCTATCTATCTATCTATCTATCTATCTATCTATCTATCTATCTATCTATCTATCTATCTATCTATCTATCTATCTATATCTGTTGGATGTGTTGTTCCTTTTACAGAAGACATTTTATCATTGTCTCACTTTTATCTCCTCTTTCTTTCATCTTTTCTCCTTTTTTAGGTTTTTCCTTTCCTGTTCTTCTTACATCGCAGTGTCCATATAATCTATAATACTCCCTGCATGAATCATACTAAAGCTATTTATATGCATAAATCAAATGGAACATTATGGCGATAGCCGTACTGCTCTACTTGTGAAAGCAAAATCTGTTGGGCTCTTTTTGGCATCAAGAAAATTATTATTATTATTGCCACATTGCCAGACAGGACACTGTTAAAAAAAATAAAGAAAGAAAGAAAATGCGCGATAAAGCACCTGAGAGATGCTTCACCTTCATTTGATCATCGACTCTTTGCCAAGTTCTCAACATGCAGAAAATCTTCTTTTAAAACATACCATTGTCTGTCAGGCTGCTTATCTATAGTCATTTTAATAGATATGACTGAAGAAATTTAATCAAATGCGTCTTTGTGATAGTCTGCTGGTAACAGTGCTGCTGGGACTTAAATTAGGAAGTGTTAAAATGCAACAAAAAAGAAAATATCTAAAGTTGCATTCAAAAGATATTAATCATAATCATCTTTTTGCACTGTGTTTTTTTCTTCCACAACGTTTACGTTTGATCACTGCTACACACTAAAAAATTGAAAAGTCATGAGAGCTGTACAAAATGAAATTTTGTTTTGTATACACTCTGTGTGTACAAAATGATAATAAAGTTTGTCTAAGTCATAAAACCTGGAAAAACTGCCCCTGTTAGCTCATCCTGGACAAACCTCATTGTAGTAAAAGGCTGAAATGTAAACCTGTGACTGCGTATTGTATTCAATTCAGTGCAATTAGTCTTGACTCACACAAATTAGTGTTGACTCAACCAAATTAGTGTTGACTTAAACAAATAGTAAAGGACTTTGTATAAAATATACAGCCCCATTTTAAGTTGGATCTTTAAAAATTATTACTAAGTTTGACTGAGTTTTTGTACCTAAAGCCTTATTGGTCAGGCAGCTCAGTTTAAATGAGTGTTTTAAGAAAAGCTTCAGACACTGAACTAGAAATTTGTGGAAAAGTAAAGTGCCCATATTTAACTATATTGACACTGCCTCTCTCTCTCCCCCGTTCAGGATCTCCAGACCCTCTGCATTACATTAACGCACACTCTACTGTGTATATAGTATATAGCTATGTACTATAATATTGCAAATAATATATTGTATGTTGTATGTTTGTACATAGCTATAGATTCTGTGTATATTTTTATTTTGTCTACATCAACACCAAGTGAAATTCCTTGTAAGTGAAAATCTACTTGGCAATAAAATGTGTTGTGATTCTGATATTATAATGCTGATCTTTACCACAATCATGCTAAAAGTGGTATTTCACTTGGTTAATGCATTTCTGACTAATCTTCATGAGTTCTGTTGTCTAATCAGCAGCCCATCCCTCCCCTGTGAAATTGGAGAATATCTACATGAAAAAAAGGCTCTGTCCAGGAAGCTACCTTAAGCTAGCTGTGCTGGCCACTTTCTCCGATCAAGAAGGGGTGATGTGATGTAGAGCGCAATGATTCCAGCTCAAAGTTAAGACAAAGCGGCTCATTTAGCAGCTAATTTACAAAGTGCAGCAATGCTAATGTCACATGAAAGTCTGTTTCACAGCTTCTGCTCTGTAAAAGATTCTCATTAGATCATAAAATCAAATATCTGTCTCTCTCAGGGAATCTTTCAATTGAAAATTTTGTTTTAATTTCTTCCTCAGCACAACAAAACAATTTATTTTAATGTTTCTATACATTCTAAATGAGACTCACTCAAAATTAAAATGACTTTTTATCCAGCTGGTTGGAGTCACCTGGGCTGTTTGAAGAGTCTCTGACCCCTGAGGGGAACCTGACCTGAATTGTTCCATTACAGCAGCTCTCCAGTCTGTGAGGATCGGCTTCTCTTTGCATTATTGATACAACCCTAAACACAACACACCGCCAGCTGGAGCAGCTTTTGTCCTACTCAGCATTTACTCACTCATTCTTAGCCAATGCAGCTTTCTAAACTCATAATTAAAAATCTTATTTTTGCAAATTTCACTCCACTTTACTGCAGGTGCTTTATTTTTTTTTTTTTTTGTTTTTCAACAGAGGTCAGTACCTGCTGATATATTTACATATATACAGAGTGTCAGTTGTTGGTTGTAGGCAGGGAGCATAGTAATGTAACCTACCTTCCTCCTGTGCAGCCCTGGCGGCTCGCGCCTGGGCCAGCTCAATGCTGACTGGTTTCTCTCTGTGCTGCTGCTGGATGGACAGAGGCACAACAGGGATCTCCGGCAGCTTGTCTCTCCATTCAGGCCCGTCCTGCTCAATGAGCGCCTTGGTAATTCTGGCAGATGACAAGGAAACCAATGCCACATAAGGGTTTTCCCTTACAAGAAAAACACTGAAACAGGGTTTGTAGGCTCAGCATCGATCTATGAACAATTTCATTCAGATTTCTTCCCTCTATTAGGCTTGAGCAATATACAGTACTAATGAATGTGTGTTGCGCATTGCTTTGCTAGAAAGACTGGACACAGATTTATATTTTAAGTACAACCTTACTGCCAAGAAAGCAGAAAAAAAGACTCCTATTTGGATTAGGGCTGCAACCAAAGATTATTTCCATATCAATTAACTTGTGGATTATTTTATTCGGTTAATTGATTAATAATTGGATAGTCAAAGGATACTTATGGAAGATTTCTTTTACAAATGTAAACCAGGTGAAAATAAAACTTTTCCATTTGAGAAGTTCTGAATAGAGCCTATTGACAGATAAAGTATTTTTTTTTTATCTTAAATGCAAACAATTTCTTATATTTTTTTAAACTTTTATATAATTACTGCGCTAAGTGGGTTACTTTTTCAACTAAAGGCATGCTTTGGAGTCTCTACACTCCAGTTAACCAATAATCAATTACTAAATTATTTGATGATGTCAATAATTGATTAATCACGATTAATCCGATTAATTGTTTCAGCCCTAATCTGGACCAAAAAAAACTTCAATTAAGTGAGTTAATGGCAGCTTTGTAACATGGTATGGATACCAGTACCTCAAAGTTCAACTTATCTCTGGATAGTGAGAGGTTTGCTTCTTTGTTGTTTTAACTGATGAAAGGGGAGGATTTAAATGTTCTTTAGGGTTTATACAGGTGGAAAAGGTATTTTTATTCAAGGACATTAATGCCCATGTGGTGTGCTATGACTGGAGAGAACAATGATTATTGTTCTGTTGGATAAGCATAAGGAGACCTTGTCAACCTAAAAAAGTCGTGAAAAATTGGGTACGTTTAGGGCGTATGTTAGGTTTGTTAAGTAAATACGGCTGTTTAAAATTTTATGACTTTTTCATAAAACCAGATATAAAATAGAAAAATGCTGACTTGATTGATTCTGAACTTCACACCTCCTGCTCTTAGCTGACCAAACCAAAACTGATGTTTGTGTCTGTGTTTATCTAACCTGTGGATGCTATCATGAGCTGCCTGCACCCCGTTGTCGATCTGCAGTACCATCTTGTAATCTACGTAGGCCTTCCTGTAGCGTTCCAGTGACTCATTGGCTAGGGCTCTGCGCAACAAGGGCTTTAAGGAGAAAGGCTGCAGCTCTAAAGCCCTAAGAGGATCAGAGAGATGCACAGACCGGATCAAACCATGTCCTTCACTGTGTCTAAATGAGCCTGTTTCAAAAGTGTGACTTGATTCTACTTTTTCTTCATGAGGAAAAACATGCAATTATCCTACTGTAGGTGTACATTTTATTCAGAATATATCCCAAAATTTTGCCTCTAGAATGCAGCAAAAGCAAAACAAACACATTCCAAGAGTTAGCGTTGTATAAATGAAAACAAAATCCAAGTTAAAAAAATAACCAATTAAATCCATATTTGTATAGATAAAGGAGTCAAAAGATATAAGCACCAAAACTAAAGGAAAACAAATGATTCAGATGAAAACACAAAAATATAAAAGTAAGAAATCACTGACATGAAAGTGAGCAATATAAGAAAATAATCCAGAGAGAACCGGGATTAATAGGTTATATTCAAAAATATTGTCTGTTATGTATATTCAAGAGATATTAAAATACAGTCAATCATTGATTAAGTATGACAGACTAATAGATTCATTGGCTGTTATAATCTGCCTTAAAAAGGGTTAATATCATTTTTCCCATATGTCTATCATTTCATATTTATATTCATAGCTTATATAATAGTCCACTCTGCTATGGCTACCTCAAAGTTTTGTATTGAGACCCCTAACTTTTCTGTTTTCTGATATTATAAACTCAATTCCATTTAGGTTGAAAATACTCGATTCCAAAGCGACAAAGTACAAATGAAATAAAAAAAAAAATCTATTTAATTGTTTAGAGGTAGCCTAATTTTGTATCTTGTATCTAGATGCTAGATATTTATTCATTTCTTCAAGGTTCATATTCGGCCTGTATTCCTTGACATTACTTATTTGAGCAATACAAACAACCTTTAATTAATTTCGTCATTTGATTAATTTGCATTTTTTAATTTTATATGTTAAAATGTGATTAGTAAAACTGCTCAGGTTATCTTTAAAATTTGTTTGAAACAAAGAAATAATAGAAAATATCTGTAAAAGGGCAAATGTTGTTTCACAATACTGAAATCAAGCTCATTTTTACTCACTGCTTATAAACTCTGTTGTATGGACATTATGCTTTTTAACTCAATTGGTCTTTTATCATGACAGATAAATAAAAAAACTTATAGATTTGGTCACACACTTGTCGCAGTCTTGTATGCAGTCTCTGCTATTTCCATCCTTCAGGTAACAAGCAGCTCTGTTGGAGTAGATGATACTCAGATCTTCTGGGCTGTCAATGCCTGGAAGGGTTAACAGCATTTAAGATAACTGCATTGTTGATCTTGATACAATATTACAAGAGACCTTCAAACATATATAATGTATTTCATCTTAAAAGTAGATCCAAAACCTAACAATAACTGGAAATAAAAACAATTCAATATAAAAATAAATACTTTTTTCTACTGTTCCTCCAGGCACTAAAGATGTTAGCCTTTGAGAGACAATCTGATTGGTTTCAGAAATGCTGAAGGGTAAAATGTGCTCACAATTTCTAATGATGTTGTATAATTTCTCTATTTTATTTGTGAGCCTCATCCGGGAAGCAGAACCTCAGCTTAGTTAAGTTTAATTAGCACACACAAAAAAATATAACAACGTTTAGAGATTTGAAAAATAGGTGTTCATGATACCATTAGACATTATGGTTAGTGCTTTTCTGTACTTGCCAGTTAACCTGGCCAATTATTTATAACATTTGAAAAATAATGTATTAATAAAACCATTAAGAATTTAATGTTAATGCTTTTAAAGCTACAGTACAAAATATATATGCAGTGCTTCTCAAAACTACTCTACCTCTTAAACATTTTATTCCATCCCAATGCTACAACCACGAGCTAGATTATATGAACCTGAACAAAGTTGTACATAACTATGAAAGGTATATAATGCATGGTTTTCACATTCTTAAGCATTAAAAAATCTTAAGCATGTAGAGTACGTTCTTGACCCCTCTTAAGAAACATTTTGTGTGCTGCAATCACAGTTGAGAGTTTTTGTAGGTCTAATTTCACTAAGTTTGTGCATCTGCATCCTAAAATTCTTTACCATTTTTCCCCTAAAATAAATTTTACTAAAAGGGATCCCCACAGCATGCTGATGCCACCACCATGCATAACATGTAGTGACCATATTCTCTCATTCTGCATCTCTGCAGCTTCACTGAAGCTATTGTTAAGTGATGCAATGGGGACTGGTTCAAATGAATATTAGTAAGAGGTATCAGAGTAAAGGGGTACAATTAAAAATAGTGAACACTCTTTTTCCAGGGATTGTTAAAAAATGGAACATTATGGTCATTAGGAGTTTATAAAATATTTTAACATTTTAGTGAGTGACCCATCTGCTGCATTTACATGTAACTGCAATAAATAACAATCTATAAAAATAGATTGTTTTGACTAAAGTTAGAGCTAAAAAAATTGTTTTAAGAAAATCTACTCTAATTTAAATTGTAATAATATTTTTAATTTATTCATTTAGGACAGTTAGACTGTTTCTGTTCAGGTTCTGGTGTATTAAAAGCCCAATTTAATGCTGTGATGGCTTTTTTTTTTTTTAATATATATATAAAATCTGGGGTTTATTTCAGTTGTTCCTCACCTGCCTCATAACATCCATCTATAGCCAGGGAGTACTTCTCTATCGCGTCTCCAAACTGGCCATTTTTAAAGAGGTGGTTTCCTTCATTCTTCAGCCGGGCCAGGTGAGGAGGTAAAGCTCCAGCCGGAGCATCCAGGTAACTCCTATCCCCTCCTGAGCTTTCCGACTGCTGCTTCTGCTCCTCTGCCTCTCCTTCTCGGCGTTTTTCTCTCGGTGCGCCGTTTGCCACCTCCTTTCCAGCAGCTCTGGGAGCCTGCAGGTTCTCCTGTCCCCGCCTGGGGGTCGCTCCTCCTCCGCTGCTGCCGGGGGGTTTATCCTGCGCGTTCCCCATGGCTGAGCTCCCCTCCGCAGTGCGTCCAAACTCTTCCTCCTTTCTCCCTCTGCAGCTACATCTGTGGACTGGATGAGGGATTTCTCCTGGACACACCTCCTCTCGGAGGTGTCAGAAGTGATGTCATGATAGGGGGGGGTTGCAGAGCTGCTGCAGCTGATGGGGAAGACTCAGAGCTGAAGGCAGGGGAGGCTCCAGCATAAGTAGGGCCCTTTACGGGCCCCTGGCTCTGTCAAAGGAGCCCATTAAAATAAATAAAAGAAAGCTCTATTATATTTCATAAAAAAAATAATAATAATTTAAAACATCTATCCCATTCTCCACCTTTAAAAAGGCGCTCACCACAGCTGCAAGTTTGACTTCATTAGGAGTGACACTAAGATAAGATGTAGTGCTTAAAGGGGAACGCCATTTTTTTTACATTGGCTCCTTGATTTTACGTTATTACATCATGTTCTACTCACCCATATGGTTTTGGTTCAACTGGAGCTGTTCTGAAGATATTCCGTTAGGTTATATCCATGTAACATCTTCCTATGGGCAAACGAGTTGAAGGCACAAACTAGACTGTTCATAATTTATTCTTTATGGTACGTCATTATTCATAACATGTAGGCAAATCACTGTCCCCCAGACATCCGCGGTTATATTTTTTATATTTATATGTTTTACAAACAAAGTGGTGCGTGTATGACGTCATCCGCGCGCTCCGGGTACCGTTCATTCTTCCTGTCCGCTGAACTGCTGCTAGTTTTACTCACATGCCTGGAAGATGTCTAGTGCTTCTACCACAGATGATATCGCTCTTGATATGGAATTGAAGGATTCACATTAGCTAGCAGAATGAATAGAAGGGGTAGGGCGTAGCCGTCTGTGGCCCGGGCTTCCTGTTACGACTCCAGTCCGCATGCACGGATGTTGTCATACACGCGCCGCTTTGTTTTAATATAACCTGACGGAATATCTTCAGAACGGCTCCAAATGACACAAAACTTATATGGGTGAATAGAACATGATGTAATAATGTAAAATCCAGGGGCCAATGTAAAAAAAAAAAAAAAAACAGTTCCCCTTTAAGGGGCAGTTTGGGATTCAGCCTTTGAGAAGTCCCTGTGTAAATGACCTATAGACAAAAGGCATCGTGTCCTTACAGACTTTTTGGAAGCAGCCAAGGATTATAGAGACACCAATTTCTTTTTTCCAGCAGGACTTGGTAACCTCCATGTACTATATACCGTAGGTTAGTTCAATGATTGTGGTGCAAACTGGTCTGACCCCAAACCAGGGAACTCTGGTCTTTAAGACCCACTGTCCCACCTTTTAGATGTGTCTATGCTCCAACACACCTGAATCAAATGATTTCCATTACATACCAGAGAGGTCTCTTAATAGTTTATTTCAGTCAGATGTGTGCATGAAGGAAAAATAATGTAAAACATGTAGGGAAGTGGGTCATGAGGACCAAGGTGGAAGACAATTGCCATGAAGTGGACTTAAGTGCAAATCCTGGAGGTTTGGTGTACTACTTTTAGATGTCTTAATTTTCCTACACATCAAATGCTTTACCCTCTCCACTAGTAGGAAGCCAAGGGGTCCATCCAAATACTGCAAGTCGGTAACCACTCCTAATTCATAGCAGCAGTGCATCAGAGGTCGCTATAAGTTCTGTCTGAAAAGTTCTGTAAGTAAGATTTGAAAAAAAGCCTGTATGCTTCCTGTCGGGAGGTTATTCAGCATAGGGAGCTCCAAATGTTCCCATCTGGTGTTCCTCACATGTATGGTGACAAGCGTCCCTTCATAGAGCTTCAGCTGTTCTTTAGATGTAATATGCCTTTTTTTTTTGTTCCTTTCAGAAAGCTGTAGTCCCAATTTGACAAGCACCATCTATGTGTTTCAGTTACATTATGAGTAGCAATCTATTTGCTGTATTCGGATAGATCAGTTCTTCAGAGCTCCATTAATGACTTAGTATATGATTCAGTTGTATTTTTTAGCAGGGATTCCTCTAAAAGTTACAGGACACAGGCCATTAAGGACTGGAGTTTGGGACCATTGATCTACAGAGTTATATCATGAGAAAGAACCAAAAATACAGACAACCAGAAGGATGCTATTGCTATGCCCAGATCAAGTACAGACAGCATATGCTTTCCCATACATCATTCGCAATAGGATATTTCTGTTTCCTTTTATTATCGGTCTATCACAATATTCTATTTTTGTTAGGTCTTTATTAGCCATTAGCCTCAATCAACTGAACATTAAAACATAATTTAAATCAATTTAATATTAAATTCCTTCAAAATAGGTTGATATAACAAAAGGTCACATGTTTGAAATTGCTCAAATAGACATTTGTATTGTCATTCTAAAGGACTGAAACGTTTCTGCAAATTTAGTTATATCTGGTTTATTTGTCCATAAGAAATGCTCCCCAGTGCACAAAACAAAGTTAAATATATCACATTTAAAAAAAGGCCTTTAATTTTTTTTTTTTTTATGAAATACAAAAAAAAAAAAAATTAAGTATTCCTTGGTTAAAACAAAGATGAATTGATGGCAGAAAAAAAATATGAAGCCAGACCTGCAAGTGTGTTTATTTACATGGTGAGACACTACAAAAACAGTAAACACTAACTAAAGTAAAATCCATCACTCTGCACTTCTTCACCGGGCATCAAATACAACCACTGTAATCAGAGAGTTAAGGAAATGTGCGCTCAGAGCATATCTGGTTTTACACACTTAATTTAAACACAAACAACATATTTTACAGTTTGTACCTAAACAGAAACACAGAAGAAAAGGATACATCTCTTTGTTCTCTTCTTGTACATAATTCTGTAGCCACACTCTCTGCATCTGATGGGATCACGTGCTTTAATTTCATTCTCAGTGTGACATTCTGCAAGAAAAGACAGTCAGGTCATCCAGCAAGTTCTAAGGCATTACCAGATAAAAGACATAATTAATAATTGTGAGCACTTAGGACTTCATTGATTCATTCAACACTAATAAAAGCTAGTGATGCTTTGAAAGTTTGGAGAGGTTTACCTCTGTTTCAGACTTTAAAAGCCACTGGAAAGATAATGTACCAAGATCAATGATGCAGTTATTTAAAATACAGCTACCAAATCAAACTACCGGTAAGCCTCAATCGGTCTCGGCCAGTCACGTGACTTTTGTTGCTAAGACGCCATTTTAGTTGGAAAAGGTGTAGTGTAAACAACCGCAGCATAGCTAAACGAAAACAGGGGCGGATTTAGGAAAATCGGTCTCCGCCAGTCACGTGACATTTGTTGCTAAGACGCCATTTTAAGTGGAAAAGGCATAGTGTACCGCGCCCGAGGTAAACAATTGACGTCACTTGGCGGAGACCGATTAAACTTCAGCAGGGTCCTAAGATCCTAGCCTCCATGCCAAACTGCATAAATAGAGTAGAGTGTGCAAGGAGGAGGCCCAGAGAAGCAACGAGGTTATAAAAATAAAAACTTTCAGAGGGTGCATACTGGCATGAAAAATATTATTGTTTTATTTATCTTCTGTAACCAGGGTTCCTAAGGCATAAGGCAAGTTAAATTCAAGACTGTTTAATGCCACTTAAAATAAAAATTTAAGATCAACCTAACTAAAACAAAAGAAAAACCTGGGAACGACAAATTTACCCAAAATGTTTATTTTAAACCATTACTTTCTGGGCCAGTAGATGTGATTCGAATTTTTAAAAAAACTTTCCATATAGGAAGAAAGCTGAAAACACACAAATAACAGATATTTTTAGCAACTACTGAACTGAATTCACTAACTTTGTTTTGTTCCCTTCTCAATCGCTCTACTTTCATAGTAATAATCCTATTTATGATGTGGCAACAATTTTTAGACCTATGAAAGACTGTTTTCTAAATAACTAAACTAACTAAATCCAAGTATGTATATTAAAGAATTCAATCCCTTTTAAATCTTTTTAAGTATCTGCAGGAACCTTGGTAACATTCTCCAATATACTGAATTTTCATTATATGTAACCCATAATCTTAAACAATTACAATAAATGGACTTGGAATGAATCTATACAAAAGAATTAATTTCTAAACTGAGTGTAAAAATATACATCTTTGACACTTTTATATTTAGATAACTCACAACTCTATAATGCAGAGCCTAATTTAAATGCATAGCGTTTATTGTTAGTAATAACTGTGGCTGTATGTAGGCCTAATCCATAAAGATTACCTCCGCAGATGTAGATCATCGGTTGTTGTTTGGGCGGCTGCAGATCTTTCTGTGCGTCCATTTTACTCTTAAAAAAAAAAAAAACAGAAGAAATAACCAAATATTATCTGATGAATTAGTACAGGATGCTAATAGTTACAGCATGGTGCCGATGGAGTGGGTCTAAATCAATTCCTTCATTTTTCGAATAAGAGACATAATTAACACGATGTTACTAAAGCAATAATAAAACGAATACATGTTTAAAATATAAAGTAAATCTCTAAAAATAAGAGAAAGCTAGGTTTACCTTTGAATATGCTAACTGTTTACCCCTCTTTCTCACTCCATGCGCGCAAGTGACGAAACGGTGGTTTCCGGTTTTCTTCTTTGCAGTTTTCCACAGATCATCTAGAGGGTGCATTAGCGCCACCAACAGGATCCGAGTGTAATGATACGTTTAGGTAATACTCCTGCCATTATCTGTAATTTTTCCATGAGGCTCATGGTAGCATTACTCATGTCATGAGAGAAGATAAAGTACACTTTTGGAGTTAAAGCTTCTAAACTGTTGCTGTACACAGCTAAAACACAGAGCATCGTTATTTTAATATGTAACTGTATCTGGCCTATTATCTTTGTTTGGATCCTTCTGGTCATACAGCATCCTGCAGGACCCTTTCTATTTTTCCACACTATAATTCCACCTGTGTCTTATTTTGGATATTATAAGACTGAGAAAAAATAGCTTACATTACATAAATAAAAAATTAAATAATATATAGCTTCTATGAGCCATAATTATGCAGAACAAAGTTTTCTTTAAAATATCAATATTAAGAGTGTGCAATGCATGGCAGCATCAAATGCAATCTATTTCCCTTCAGAAATGTTCAATATCTTTGCTGTTCCTAGAACTGCACTCTTCTGGACTAAGATGTCTGACTTATTTCCAGGGATCAGCTGTAACCACTCCTCCAGTTTGGGAGTCACTGCCCCAAGGGCCCCAATGACCATGGATAACACTGATGCCTTGACCTTTTCTCCAGCTCTTCTCTGGGCCCATGGTTTTTCTCTAGTTTCTGATGTTGCTTTTCATGATGTTGCAGTCACTTGATATTGTTATGTCTACCACCACCACCACAACGTCCGTTGATATATATATATATATATATATACACCACCGTTCAAAAGTTTGGAGTATAATGAATAGAAAATAGAGTCAAGGCATTGACAAGGTTAGAAATAACGATTTGTATTTAAAATAAGATTTTTTTTACATCAAACTTTGCTTTCTTCAAAGAATCCTCCATTTGCAGCAATTACAGCATTGCAGACCTTTGGTATTCTAGCTGTTAATTTGTTGAGGTAATCTGGAGAAATTGCACCCCACGCTTCCAGAAGCAGCTCCCACAATTTGGATTGGTAGGATGGGCACTTCTTGCTTACCATACGGTCAAGCTGCTCCCACAACAGCTCAATGGGGTTCAGATACGGTGACTGCGCTGGCCACTCCATTACCGATAGAATACCAGCTGCCAGTTTCTGCTCTAAATAGTTGTTGCACAATTTGGAGGTGTGTTTAGGGTCATTGTCCTGTTGTAGGATGAAATTGGCTCCAATCAAGCGCTATCCACTGGGTATGGCATGGTGTTGCAAAATGAAGTGATAGCCTTCCTTATTCAGAATCCCTTTACCACAATACAATGATACAGGCAGGAAGTGCATACATGGAATGCATTCCATTCCATTCCACTCCTGCCTTCATTGTATTGTTTCAGGGGCATCTTTGCACAGTCTGCACCAGGGGTCCTGCCTAGTGTAGTAGACCCCAGCCTCTTTTGATCTTGTACTGTGCTGCCATGATTAGTGTATTTGTCCAGCCATTTCCATGTATTGGGGATGGTATGTAGTTTTCAGAGGGTACTCTGTCACTCAGCCTTGGTCGTCATACTAGGGGGCTTGGTTATACTTGTTGTTGGTATTGTCCTAGGCTTATAAAAAAAAAAAAAAAATTTGGAAAAGTGATTTTCCAGTTCTTAACAGCCTTTATAACAAAAGTTTTTTTTTTCTTTTCTTTTTTTTACCATTATTTTTTTTTTCTTGGATAGGCGCTCTTGATTTAATTCTGTTGTTCCATTCCCTGCCGAATGGAGGCGGTGTGGTGCCATTAGAACCCCTAACATGTCCATCATCTAACTAGCTCCCCCTTAGCTGGCCCGCTGGCCTCCACTACTTTATGACAAACAGCCTACTTTATCGACGATGTCAGTGTCGTGGCTGTCTCTGACTTAACCGGCCTTACAATTTCATATTTAACGGTGCTTATTATTTTTTCGTGTGGCCACCATGGAGCCGTCCGCGCCGAAAAGGTTCGTGGGACGTTTCCGAACGCTCAATTAAATAGCTATTAAAATCTGCTAATGTATGCGGCAGAGCCACTAGCTAACGCTAAGCTAACTTAGCGCTAGTTTTATTTTAAAGTTTCACTACAAAGAGCTATCAGATCAAAAATATTCATTAGGCGTGATATAAAAACTGTTAATACACTGCCTGCTTATATTAAATCGTAATGATAGATGTTAGGGTCGTTTGAAGGACTATCATTTTCGTTTCTACTCGAGAAAAACAAATGAGGCGCAGTCATTTTCAGCTTATGTGTCAGATTGCCTTATTTGAAGTTGCGGGGGAGAACAGTCATTTGAAAGTGATTTATTCATTGGGCTAATAAAAGTTGCTTGTTAGAACTTCTTATTAATTGTTTTATTAACTAGAACAGTTCTTATATTATCAATTTTACAGTTTCCCTGGAAAGATTCTGAACATGCTTTGTGCATTTATCTGTCAGTTAGATGTTGCATCAACTAAAACAAGTGGGATGGATTGCATTAGGGTTACTGTGATTAAAATACAACTTGTTTTATTTTGCAGTAAGCTGAAAAAGCTGAGTGAGGATAGTTTGACCAAACAGCCAGAGGAAGTGTTTGATGTTCTGGAGAAACTAGGTGAAGGGTAAGTAGTCTTTTCCCTCTATTCTTTTACTCCTTGATGTAACCTCATTCTATACTAGGTGTTTGTTTAATGTAATCTATGTTTTTAGCTCCTATGGCAGCGTATTTAAGGCCATTCATAAGGAGTCGGGGCAGGTCGTTGCCATTAAGCAGGTTCCTGTGGAGTCTGATCTTCAGGAAATCATCAAGGAGATCTCCATCATGCAGCAATGTGACAGGTGGGGCAACCACACTGGTTTTGTTAAAAATGCCTAAACTATGACTTAAAAGGAATAATCAGTTTTGTAAAAAGCAGCCAAAGGATCAATAACTTTGAGGTTTGTAATTTGGGATATTATATATATATATATATATATATATATATATATTAGGGGTGGGTATTGCCAAAGAAGTCACGATTCGATGCGAATCACGATTCACAGGCCACGATGCGATTCTATCACGATGCATCACGATACTTGAATTATTGCGATGCATTGCAATATTTTCTCCTCCATGTTTTGTTTTTGAATGACTCGGCACAGTATCCCGCAGCCGGAAATGCTTGTGACACAAGGCAGCGTGCGTCAACACATTTGCAGCGACATCTACAGGACTGGAAGTTGTATTACACTTGTTTTTGATGTTCGCCAACCATTCATGCAATTTTATTTATTCATTTTTTTAAATTAATAATCGATTCTTGGCATCAAGAATCGATGCAGTAGATCACGAAAATTAGAATCACGATGCATCATCATCGCGATTATTTTGCACACCCCTAATATATAAATATATATATATATATATATATATATATATATATATATATATATATATATATATATATATATATATATATATATATATATATATATTAATTAATTATAACACAGTTAATAAAACTTTTTTAACCATCAGCCCTTTCTCCTTGCAGCCCTTATGTTGTAAAATACTACGGAAGTTATTTCAAGAACACAGACCTGTGGATCGTCATGGAATACTGTGGAGCTGGATCTGTTTCAGACATTATCAGGCTCCGAAGCAAAACGGTGTGTACACCAAGACTTTTAGCTCTGTCAGTACATCTGACATACATAGTAGTTTATGCGAGTATTTGTGTTTTAAAATGATTTTTTTTATGACAAATTATTTAGTTGTTGACATCCCATCTTATTGAATAGTGTGTCTCAGGATGGAACACTAAATCTCTGCAATTGTCGTAAACCTATACTTTTCTTTGTTTCCTCTCACACCAGCTAACAGAAGATGAGATTGCCACCATCCTGAAGTCAACCCTCAAGGGTCTTGAATATCTTCATTTTATGAGAAAGATCCATCGTGACATCAAGGCAGGGAACATCCTTCTCAACACCGAGGGTCATGCCAAACTGGCTGACTTTGGAGTTGCAGGACAATTAACGGTAACATATATTTAAAAAAAAAATACCTTTACTAACTTAATATTCTTGACTGCGCTTTTTACTATATGTTTTTAATATGGGCCACAGAAAGACAAGCTGTTTGCCATGGCAACAGCTAATGGGGATCCAAATTTACAACTGCAAAAAAACATTTGTAAGGCACTGTAAAGTAACAGTAAATTATATATGTACCAAGCTGTGATTCAGCCGACCTTAATACAGAATTGAACCAATCTTTTGAGGACCATTTATGTTTCCTCTGCACTTTAAAGTTGAGCTCTGCTTTGTTTTGGTATTTCACATTAAATCCTAATAAGATTGAAGAGATTCTGGTTGTAAAATATCAAAGTTCGAGTTCTGCACCCCTTAAGCTGATTCCTCTAAGTTCTGTTAATAGATTTGTTTTGAAAGATGTTTGCATTGTTTTAAGTAAGCATTTTGATGGTAAAAAAGAGCTTTTAATGATTTTTAAATATATATTATATAATATGTTTGCTAGTTTTTGTTAAGTCAAAGGAACTATATTCATGGAATAATTTTTCTTCCAAAGGACACAATGGCAAAAAGAAACACTGTGATTGGTACTCCGTTCTGGATGGCTCCAGAGGTGATCCAGGAGATCGGCTACAACTGTGTAGCAGACATCTGGTCTCTGGGCATCACATCCATAGAAATGGCAGAGGGTAAACCTCCTTATGCTGACATCCACCCTATGAGAGTGAGTGCTTTTTTTGTTTTTCTTCTCAGTTGGTGCTTCAGATGCCATTTTAACTATTTGTCCTCCTCTGCAACCTTTCCTACAGGCGATATTTATGATCCCCACCAACCCTCCTCCTACGTTTAGGAAGCCAGAGCATTGGTCGGATGAATTCACAGACTTTGTCAAGAAGTGTTTGGTCAAAAACCCTGAGCAGAGAGCAACTGCAACACAGCTTCTACAGGTTGGGGCAGATACACCTCAGCTATAAACAAGAAAATATTTAGCAAATAAAAATGATATTTCTGTTT